TTACAGTTCGGGTAATTTCAGATTTTATTGGGCTGGGTGCTGAGTATGGAAAAAGGTTTTGGGTTTGGTTACGAAGTTTGGGCCTTGGCAAAGCCCTTATTACATAATTATTCTGCTTTGGGTAAACTTGTAACGTTATAGTATATTTTATATCAGGGGTTTTTACTGTAAATAGCAAAAAGCAGAAAAGCGAAGAAGAAAGACGAAAGGAAAGTAGGGTTTAGCAAGAAAGAGGAAAGAAATGAAAGGCGGAGGAAGAAGGGAGGTACAGAAAGGATAAGGAGGAATCAAAACTTGTTCATTTCATGATGATTCTCGAATTACACCGAAACAGCTATATAATCCTCCATTTACCGCAAATATTAACTACTTTACTACATAAATTAACCAGTAATCCTAACGGTAACTAATTAATGTCTATTTCCAGGAAGCTTCCTCATCAGCATGCATGGCATGTGACCGACTTGGAATGCTTCTCTGCTGCAAACAAACTGAAACGACAACGTTTGCCCCTAAATTCGAATCCCTAATTAATTTTAAAACTTGACCCGACTTTATTAAACCCGATCCGCATGACAAAACTTTGCGGACGATCTAATAGTAGGCACATACACTTTCATGTGACACTTTTTACTACACAATTTAATTATTATTTTTTATAATTAATATAAATTGTGTTAATTAATACATGCCTTGTAAGTATATATTTTCAATGTAGGCTATTTCTTTTTTTTTATTTTTCGGAGTTATGCGCTCTTTTCGGGCTCTTCTTATTTGATCGAAAAAATTGAAGATTACAAGTAACATTTGTGGAATATAGCGATCTTATTGTCATCATATTAGTATTTTGGACTTTTTAAAGAATTTTTTCACTTAATAATGTAGCTTTGTCAAAGGCAAATTTTGGGCTACTCGAATGGACAAGATCCAAATTCATTTTTTTGGGATTGTGTTACTAGTATATTATTAATGCATCACTGTTTTTTTTCATCTTTTGATTAATTCTACGCATGGTAAAAAGATGAACGAATTTGATTGTTGAATTTATTATGAACTCTTCTGTTCTTAAGACAGTATATAGTCCTTCGCTTTATGTCCTTTCACTGTGTAATCTCATTCTTTTATAACTCATGCCTCTTTTTTGTCTTTTTATTATGTATAATGAATAGTTTTCATCTTTGGTAAATTATTTTTGATATTTCTATTAGCAACTTTTAAGAAACCACCAACGTTTGTTCGAACAAGACAATATGATATCATAAACATTTCTTTTTGAGAATTCCAATACCGCAAAAAAGCGACGGGAATATGGAGCATGGAGTGTGAACCAAGCTATGATGCAATTAATGTAATTTAGAACAAATCATATATAAATGGCTCAATTGGCCAAATTAGAGTTGACTTTTTAATTACAAAAATGTCAACCCCGTTTCTTTTTCCAGTCAGGAATAAGTAAAATGTCAACTCCTTGAACCCTTGATCACAACAAAGAAAAAGATAGCCAACACGTACGTATCTTATTGGGTTTTCAGAAATAAAAATTGAAATCACCGGCCAAACCAAAATGTCAGCGTACTGAATAATAGTACCAAAATAATAAGACTGTGGTAACTTATGCATTTGTGATTGTGACTTCTTCAAAAATTTTTTAAAAAATCGATTGATGCTATAAACACCCCCAAAAAAGAAAGATAAATCATAAAATAAAATAAAACTCGTCAACCTCTTATTCTCTCAACTGTTGTATTTATTAATTTAAAATTATACAGTTTATACTGATCTTTTTTTTGGATAAATTTTGGGACGTTTCTAGGGTGTTAGCATAATAACAAAAACAATAATTTTACCACAACTAAAATGGTCTTTTTATTATCCATTAACTAAAGTACAATCAATTAAACCTAATATATGAACGAGAAGATTAGTTACTATCGTCGATGGTACACTTGCAGTATGTAAAACACTTGATATATGAACGACAATAACAATGCGTATGAGCATAATTAATGGACATTTCAGTGCTTTTATTAGGTGCTAATTAAAGAAGACGAAAATGTCTCTATTCATGTAGTATGAGAATAAATCAGATTTGCAAAATCATACAATAATATATATATATATATATATAATTACATCATGCTAAAATGAAACTGTACCATGTCAAATTCAAATTGATATAGTTTATTGATCATTTTACTTTTAAAAATTAGCAAAGTCTCCCATTGCCAGTTGCTATTAGGCCTAAGCAGCCCCCGTTGCCGAAATTATCTATCCTTAGCATAATTTCGCACGTAATGCTTATACAGGAGTACGTACTAGTACTAGTACCGCTTGTACTTGTGTAGTACACAACTAAATATTCGTTGAATTTGGATTAATTTTTCCACTATTTTCTTTTTACATGTCGATCATCAACAGTAATAATTAATTCGTTCGCTAAATTGTAGATATCTCAATGAATGAAAAAATTAACTAAACAAATTAATTTTTGTCATTAGAGGCATGTGCTTCGTGGCATACATAACTTCCATCAATTCAATGTATAGTTTCGTTTTCTTCATAATTCTCTTCTATCGATCCTACTTATGAAGTGCTTTCATTATCTCTAACATGACCTTAGTTTACTAAACCAGCTACATTCACTCATCACCTAATTATATCACTAAACTAGTTAACGAATAATGATATATATACTCAATGGAAATTCTTAGAGAAATATGGTACAGATTAATGATGTGACTAGTTATAAAACCACACATGCACATAACTGTAAATAGATAAACTTTAGAGATGAAATTGTAAATTTGTACAACTATGGCATCATATCTTACCTACATCCTTAATGTTGAAGAGTTTTCATTTCTTTCAACAACTTTTTATTTGGATATATCATCACTCTTAGTTTAACTTGAAAAATTGGCCATCATTAACAAAATACTTGGAGAAAATTATTATTGTTTACAAGAAAGAAAATAATTGCTACTTAGAAAATACAAACCGACTTATAATAAAGACCAATAAAAATTTAAAGTTGTGCTTTATAAATAGGATTACATCGATAGATTAGTTTGAATTAACATTCATTTAAGTTGATAGGATTCGACATCTAATGTGTAATGTTTTTAGTAATTAACTTTGTAATGTTTTGAAATGCAATTTAATGTATTTTAAGAAAATTTCAGGGAAAAAAAAAAGAAAAGATAAAACGACGACTTCATTACGATCAAGCGAAGTTATCCTTAAGACATAGGGATGCATGCACATCGTCACAAATTCACAACAGTTTCACGTACAGCAACAACGTTCCACATTTACGTGGGAGAAAAAACCCTTGATTACAATGAATAAAATGTCTTGAATCGATGATATCCTAGTTCTACGTACTTTTGAACTAACCAATTTGTACTTACAAATTTCTTTCTTTATATCAATAAATTCCAACTGATGACTTCAATTTTAACATTTCTTTTGAAATTTAATCTTTTAAATAACAGTATGTTTCAAAACACATACACTCTCTTAACAAAGTGAATTATTAATTTTTATGAAACGGAAGAAATGCTATATGTATTGTTAAAGTCATGTGCATTTATGATAATTTTACACTAATTTTTTTTTTTTAAAAAAAAACCTTTTTATCTTATTATTCACTTGCATCAATCATTGAGAAAGTTTAAATAATTATTGAGTCTAGTACAAACAGTTGGCAAAGTGCTTAGCGATAATTTTCGGACTACGCACCATCTCTCTTGTTCATGCATAAGTACAGTTTGTACTACTGTACTACGCAGATGGTCGATGTTTAATAAAACCCTACCTTCAGAAGAAACGAAATTATTAACGAAGTCTCGCTCTTTTAGTAAATTAATCAGTTGATCTCTTAGATTCTCGAATTGTACTTTGTAACTTATCTTTTTTAGAAATGTTTTGATTTGAGTCCGTGAATTTTATTCATAGCTAGTGATTGAGAAAGTTAGTCATAATTTGGAACGATTATTGATCACACGAACAAGAATTCTCTTACCACTATAACGTAGTCCAAAAAAATAATTTTTTATGTATTTAATGTGGCCTTTCATTGATCCTTGACTTGTGGCATAATTTTTACTTTTTCTGTCCCAAAAACTTAGATCCTAATCCCATCAATTTTATCCAAACAAGCTAATTTAAAACGTCAGTACAATAACTGTCAAATATTATTTCCTCTATTCCATAATTTTTGTCCAGTTTAAATTAATTTGAATTTTTAGTTCAAATTTACTAAAACTGAAATCTCAATATGGACAATAATTTTGGGACGGGAGGAGTACTTTATTAGGCTACTTTGAAATTAAAGAAACTTCATTGTTGTGCGATTGGTTGCAAGCTTCCACTTTCAACCAATCCTTTCTCCAAAATTAAATTGCAAGCATATAACTGAAATTTGAAAACGGTACATGAAATATTTTCAACATAAGGGATCAAAAGGAATATATACACTCCAACAATATTTAGGGACCAATTGAGTAATTTTCCTTCTTTTTAAACATCGAAGGTTGATAATTAATCTAGGGCAACTACTTACTTCTTCAATCAAATATAACTCTCAGATGCAACTCTTTTCATATCCATTGCACACACAATATAACAATAAATAAATAAAAATTAGAATGATGTGATATTTTACTCTTATTATCAATAAAATAGTTGTCCAGTATCTATCAGAAGCCGGGTGCAGAGAACAAAAATTTTAGTTCGCGCGCAATAAAGCCGTATTTCTTTGTGATGGAACTTTTAATTAAAATAGGGTTGAATTGTTAGCTAATATTTATTTATTTTCTTTTTTGGTGTGAAGATAAAAACCTTATGTACATTGTCGACCTATATATAGAGGTCCACGAATCCTTGTAACTCCACATTTTCTCTCGACATATGTTCATTTCATAGTGCAACATATAACAAATATTGGGTGGGTGGTGAAAGTCAATTGAGTTTGTTCTTATTGTCACACATAACAAATCATGAATCCATCTGCCTCGAAAAAGAAACTTATGGCCATGGACTCAACGGTGAGGCCGGGAGCTGCGCCGCCGAAATCCCCGACCGGAGATACGAAAAATGCCATCCAAGCCATGATAATGGGGCTTATTGTTGTCGTCACTGTTGGATACATGTTCTTGTGGATTATGCTCCCAACAAATGTGTACAGACTAAAATGGCTCCCAAAAATCCAAGCTAAGGCTAACACCACTTACTTTGGAACTCAAGGTACGTATTTAAATTTCATTTTTCATTAATTATCATCGAATTAGTTGGCTAATTATATGTAGTGGTGGCATTGTGAAGTTTTTGCTATGTTTGACAGCATGTTCTTAATTTTCATTAATGTCAACTCTCGAATTATTGTTTAGAACGGGGAACTTTTTGTCAAAATAACAAAGATTAGTTATGATCATCAAAGTTATAATTTTGTTAACTTTGCCCATATAACAGATATTGTCGTCCAAACCTCATGTCATGTACGTAGAAATCCTTCCCGGCCTTTCAATTTTTCATTAGTGGGTTATCATGTGTTTGTTGTGTTCTTCTGAGATTGTGAAAAGGGCCCTAGCATGATGATGAAGGTTTATAGAGACCCCGAGTATCCTAGATTTACTAGTAGAACTAAAACATGAAAGGGAGGGGGGAAAATTGTGATCCCTTGACAAAATTAGTAATTTCATTCACCGTGATTTGGCTACATGATTGTTTTTCTTTAAATTTTGATTTTGATTTTGATTTTTTTTATTTTTTTTTTTTGGTGGCAGGAACAAACATTTTGATATTCACATTTCCTGTCCTCTTTGTGGCTGCCTTGGGTTGCGTTTATCTCCATTTAAGAAAGAAGAGCACCGTTAATGGTGGTCACTACCATCATTCCAATGGGTAAATTAATTATCAGTTAAATAGTTATTCAATTAACTAGCCAAAAAAAAAAAATCAAAAGAAAGATTCATCAATCTAACCAGTTTATTTGCGTTATTATTGCAAAAATAATTTTTAAAAAAAACAGTGAGAACAATGGTTTAGCTGCATGGAAGAGGCCGATGATCATCAAAGGACTCGGGGTCATATCCTTAATCGAATTGGCATTTTTGGTGATGTTTGTTGCTCTTATTGCTTGGTATTTTTCACTCTCCTTGCGCATCAAGTTCCACAATATTACCCCCATGTCCGCTGCAAAAACCGGCGAAAAAGTGTAAGCAAATAAAATTTGATAACATTGTCAAATGATTGATTTTAATATAACACTTATTTCATTTGTCTCAAGAAATAGTACATCCAGAGTTTTGATATTTATATTAAAAGTAGCAGAAATTTCAAATTTTAGTATGAGTTTTTTTTAAAAAAAAAAATTGGAATAGAGATATTACTAATTTTTTCCCAATGGGTTTACTTATGTATTACGATCATTTTGAAGGTGGCAAGCGAAGCTGGACGCAACCGGTTTAAGGTTCGGGATTGCCGGGAACATATGCTTAGCATTTCTATTCTTCCCGGTGGCGCGTGGGTCATCGGTGTTACAGTTATTTGGACTGACTTCGGAAGCCAGCATCAAATATCATATGTGGATGGGACATATTACCATGGCAGTGCTTACTGCTCATGGTGTTTGCTACGTCATTTATTGGTCTGTTACTCACCAAATATCTCAGGTAAATTAATTAACGAATATTGTTAGTATTAGTAGTAAGAATTAATCATATCATTAATAAAAGAAGGTATATGTAGGGTTAATAATACCAATTGTATCAAATCAGAATTAATTAATTTGTGTTCTTTTTTGGATGGAAACTCATTGAAATCAGATGTTGAAATGGCCAAAAATGGGGGAATCAAATGTGGCAGGAGAAATAGCATTGTTAGCGGGATTAGCTATGTGGGCAACAACCTTCTCTGGCATTAGGAGGAAATTTTTTGAGCTCTTTTTTTACACTCATTATCTCTACATTGTCTTCATGCTTTTCTTCCTCCTTCACGCCGGACTCGGCCATTTTTCCTATGGCCTTGCTTCCTTCTACCTCTTCTTGGTTGATCGATACTTGAGGTTCTTGCAATCTCGCCAAAATGTCCGTTTGGTTTCCGCTCGCATCCTCCCTGGTCAAACCCTCGAGCTCAATTTCTCTAAGGCGGCAGGTACATTGATACGTCTAAAATTGTACTCTTTCAGTTCCAAAATTATTATCCAATTCGAATTTATGTATTTAGTTCAAATTATACTAAAAAGTGAAATTTCAAAATGGACAATAATTTTGAGACAAGGAAAGTACTATTAGAAACAAGATTATATTACTATAGATGAAATTGATTTTTTTACCGCGGGGTTTTGGTATGAATAGGTCTTACTTATACTCCCACGAGCATAATGTTCTTGAATGTGCCTAGCATTTCAAAGTTGCAATGGCATCCTTTTACAATTACCTCGAGCTGTAATTTGGAGCCTGAAAAGCTGAGTGTTATCATAAAAGGAGAAGTGAGTTGGACTAACAAATTGCACCAGTTACTATCCTCACCTTCTTCATCAGTTGATCATCTTGCTGTGTCCGTTGAAGGACCTTATGGACCTTCTTCTACTGATTTTCTCAGGTAATCAAGTTAATCTTCTGACGAAGACACCTTTTTTTTTCTTTTTTCTTTTTTCTTTTTTTGATTTTGATGCATCAATTGTCCCTTAAATTAAGAAAGTACGGTAACTAACAAAATTAAATTATCTTGTCAAACCTAAAATCGTGACTGCATATCGACTATATACTCATGTTTCTCTATACTTAATTAATTGAAACTCTTAGTGATTAGAGAATTTAGGGGCTTAGTTCATCATATGAAATAAGTATATGTAGATGTATTGAAGGATATTCAGAAAGAAAAGTTAAGCAATATTACTTATTTAAAAATCAAGGGCTTTCGTCCCCCTAAATTTTTTTTTTTTTTTTTGTTAATTAACTAGCTATATAGCTAGTTACATAGAGCAAAAGAATTCTTATTGTGGGACAAAGGGACATAGAAATATCTATTGAAGTATATGTGTCTTGTTTAATGTTTTGGCAGGCATGACTTGTTAGTGATGGTGAGTGGAGGCAGTGGAATAACGCCTTTTATCTCCATAATTAGAGAATTGATCTACACCAGCGAGACACAGAATTACAAAACTCCCTCAATTCTGCTCATTCCAGCGTTCAAGAATTCTTCAGATTTGACAGTGCTTAATCTCATTCTCCCCATTCACATTTCCCCATCCCAAATTTCCAATCTTGACCTACAAATCGATGCCTACGTCACCAGAGAAAAACAACCACCTTCATCATCATCGGAAGAAGAAGCATCGACCAAGAAAAACATCACCACAATTTGGTTCAAACCTAAGCCAACCGATTCGCCGATATCGCCGGTTCTGGGTCAAAACGGTTGGCTCTGGCTGGGCGCGATTATATCGGCATCTTTCATGATGTACCTGGTTCTGATCGGGATCATTACGAGATACTATTTTTATCCAAAGGATATTCATCATGACGGTATGAATATGATGATGATGTACTCGAGCTCATCTAAGTACGTGGTGAATCTGTTGTTCTTGTGCGTATCCATCGTTTTCGTGGCGACTGTGGTTTTCTTGTGGAACAAGAAACAAAATGCCATGGAAAACAAGCAGATTCAGCACTTGGAAGGGGCAACTCCGGAGGCATCTCCTGCCTCGTTGTTCTATAATGCTGATAGGGAATTGGAAAGCGGGGCACCACAACAATCACTTGCCTTCTCCACAAATGTGCATTATGGTGAAAGGCCTGACCTCAAGAGTAAGAGTTTATTTATTTTAAAAATTACTGCCTCTGTCCCACAATAATAGTCCATATTGAGTTTTGAGTTTTGTACTATTTTTAGTACAAATTTAAAAATTCAATGTGGACTATTTTTGTGGGACGGGAGGAAGTAGATATTTTCATATCTATAATTTCTTAATTCATTTGTACAAACTTCTTAGGTTGCTTAGGGTGGGGAAAAAAAACACCAAAAATAAGGTTTATTTTTGATGCAGGGATTCTGTTTGAGAGGAAAGAATCAAGTGTTGGAGTTTTAGTTTGTGGGCCGAAGAAAATGAGACATGAAGTTGCGAATATTTGTTCCTCTGGTTTGGGAGCCAATCTGCATTTTGAGTCCATCAGCTTCAGTTGGTGAATTATATGTGTTTTGAAGCGGTTTGTTTAAAAGATCATTTTGGGTCTCCTTCTTCAGATCTCAACTGGAGATGGTCGTGGAGTTTTAATTTGGACCTCTTGGTGAATGGACCTCTCAGTGTGACTTAATACCATTCCCAGCTAATAGTGAATGTGTGAAAAATAATAATAATAATAAAGTACAGCGATGGTGATGTGGATTGATAATGTATATAAACTTATATTTTGTGATGTGTGTTTTTATGAAATGAGAAGCAAACAACGTACTATATGTATGAAAATATGTTTGGCCATTATGGTCGTGTTCTCTCTTTTTCTTTTCTGGAGTTTATGGACATTTTTTTTAATGCTTTAGGTACCATTTCCATTTTATTTTTTTTTTTGAAACACTTATCTCTCTTTATCAGCGTTTGTTTTTTTCTTTCTTTCTTTTTTTTTTTTAAACTAATTATATGTAGTGACGAGACTTCTCTTTAGGTTTTGCATGTGGACGTACGTATGTTATCTTAACCTGACTGTATAAAATTTTGAATCGAGTCTCTTGAATTGTCTTAATTTGTAAGTAGCTAGGATGAAGTTGCTCCAACTCCCAGTGTGCTGCCCAATTTTGCATTCCGGGAGACTTATCCAATTGTTATGGCTGCACTTGTACAGCTATCCCGAGTATGTAAGTTGGCTTCAGATGCGTGAGAAGCTTCTTCAAATCATATGAATGAGCGAGACTGTAAGAGAGAGCGATCAGATTTATAATAAAGCTTCTTCGATCGATCTGGATGATGATCTGAAGCCGATGATTATAAATGTAGTGGGGGAACTAATAAAATTACGTAGTTTTAAAGGATGAGACAAAGGTGAGACAAAAAAAATGAGACAGGAAATCCCGACTCTCTAATAATGCTTTTTGTTTTGTGTACGTCTTTTCTTCATTAGTGTTTTTTTTTTTTTTTAAGGGTACAATGGAAGGAGGCATATTGCCTAGTAGTCTAGATTATTACAGAATGTTGATAGGAACCAATTATATCATAATAAAGCCATGATTTCAACTCATTCGGAGAAACATCTAGTCGAGTTAAACTGCCAGAACTGATAGCCGTTAATGATGATAGTAAATTTGTTGTAAAATTTTCCTCCCTGTGAATGTGCTTCAACTCAACTGACCATGATCTTTGCATTAGTTCCCGGATTGCCATAACTAGGCTTTGATGCAAACTAACTGACTCTTCGTCACCTTCAACTAACCGGATTACCATAACTAGACTTATTGATAATAATATCAAAAAATAATAGCACAACTTATAAATGTGTAATTTATTTATGTTTATTATTAATGAAACTATACAAATCTATCTATTTAAATAGTGGAAATTAAATATTTTTTCTATTTTAAAATAATTATCTAATTTAAAATTTTAATTTTGATAAAATATTATATCTCGGACGAAAGAGCCATAGTAATGTGGTTGCTGACAGTTGGTCACTTCGGATGGACAGTCAGTTCATTTGACTCAACTTTTTCATGGGTTGATATGGAAAGGAAGACCCAAAGGATTCAAGTGGACGGAGTGGGCTCTTCTGTAAAAGTAAGGCCCAACCTAGTTCATCTGGACGGCGTATTTTGCACCGGCCACATTTTGACTACAGTCCACACTCTCTCTACGCCTATAAACTTTGAGCAAAGAGGTTGACGAATAACGGAATTAGCCGAAGCTAAAATTAGAAGGGAAAAAAAAAACGGCCCAAAAAGCTTCAAGTTCCGACCAACAATGGCGGCTTCCATGGCAACTCCTGGAATCCACGGCTTTGGGCTCCGCCACAAGAGATGCTCTTTTGCTTATTTCGCCCCCTCCGCCGTAACCAATGTGCAGAAGCATCCGCAACCGCCACCACAACCGCCGCGGGATGAGAAATCTACCGAACCAGTCAGTCGTAGGTGAGTAACAACCGGAACTCTCCTCTCCCATCTTCAATTTGTTGCCTGAATTCCTCATTTCAATCCATTATTGTACACTACAAGGGAAATTGACCAAAACCCAAAAATAATCTTTTTGTAGGGAAATCGTACTTAGAAGCAGCGGGATAGGAGTTCTTGGAGCCATCTTTCACTTCGGGTATTTCTTTTCTCTGGTGTTCCTTTTCCCATCCCCTTTTACTTTTTAAATTTTTTTTCCCAATTATCTTATAGCATGTGTATATTCATTTAAGTAGGGGTGAAAGCTAATTCATAATTAGATATAATATCCAAAGCATTTGGCAAGAGGTTTGTCAGCAATTGGACAAAGGATACTATTGTTCATGAATATGAATCCAGGAACTGATTATCAGATGCTGAATATGTTGGCTTCTTTTGTTTTTTTCCATTTTGTTGTTGCAGCGGGAAGAAGCCAAATTATTTGGGAGTACAGAAGAGCCCTCCAGGTCTTGCTCTTTGTCCTGCTACCAACAATTGTGTATCTACATCCGAAAACACAAGCGATCTGATCCATTATGCGCCGCCTTGGTAATTTCATTATCTCTCACATATAAACAAAATGCTTGCTTGATGCTTCTCTCCACCGGCCACACTTTTGTCAAAAGTTGTTACATGGTCAAACGTTGTGGTCGGCGGGGGTAGTATTCAACAATTGAATGTGCCAGGACAGATTTTGAACTAAGAAAGAAAGTTTGTTCTGTTACAGGAATTACAACCCAGAAGAGGGGCGCGGAAGTAAGAAGCCTGTCAGTAGGGAAGAGGCTATGCAAGAGCTTCTTGAAGTGGTAAGCTATACTAAGCTCATATGAAGGGTAGAATTTGGAGTTTAAAGAAAGGCATATATGGGTTCTTTCATCAACTTCTCTTGACTTCTTTCTTGCTCATCTTGCAGATCCAGTCGACAAAACCCGACAATTTTGCGCCAAAGATAGCCGAGAAGAAGGATGATTACATTCGGGTCGAATATGAAAGCCCTATCTTGGGGGTACGTAAACTAATATCCACTTACAACGGCTTCCTTATGCACACCAGTCAGCAAATTACCCACGTTTTGATGGTTATAAAGAGTAATAGGGGATTCAACCTGTGTTTGTTTCTGTTCTCACTGTAACATATTTTCTTGTCTCAGTTTGTGGATGATGTTGAGTTCTGGTTCCCTCCGGGAAAGAAATCTATCGTTCAGTATAGGTCTGCTTCGCGGTTGGGGAATTTTGACTTTGATGCGAATAAGAAGAGAATCAAGGTAAAAATTTCGAGTGATGTACTGCTAACTTCTTGTTATTATAACTTCCTACTACAATCTTTATTCTGATGATGATGATAATTGAAACAGGCTTTAAGGTTAAAACTGGAGAAGAAAGGATGGGCATCAGAAGACCGCGCTTGAGGGTTATAGAACACAAGAATATAAAAAGTTACTCAAGGCTCATATAACCAGAAGACCATTCATTTCATCCGCAAAGAAGAGAGAAATAGCAAGAAAATGAAAATTTGAATCATTTCCTAGTGTCCTTACTGCTCATCAGACCACAACTATGACGAACTGCACTCATAACATGTTAATAGACAGAATTGAAATCCTACCTTGTTGAGTAACTTGCTCTTTCATCTTGCTACCTTGTTGGAGAATAAATATGGCCACGCAATCACAAAACATAATAATCTTCCTTGGAACCAATCAATTCAACAACCATTGAGACCATAATGATCCGAAGAATGATTTAACATTAAAAATCAAAAGATACAACTTCAAAGTCACCATTGCAAATAGCTCTTGTAAGCTGCAAACATCAAGTTGCATTAATCTAAAAGTCTAAGAAGTGATTACATGCAAGCATTGCCAACTCCAATGAACTACAAGAGCATAAATAACGCAGAGCTTGATCTTTCATAGCGGCGGCCAGAACTGCAACAGGATAGATGGATATCAATCTTTCCTAAGTTCCATGTACTCACGACGAATTCCCTGAGCATTTAATACAAGAATCTCCAGCTTGTCGCCCTGCAATACACACAACATTCATAAGAGTAGAACAAATAGCTTTCCAAGATAGCAATACACATCAGCAGTGAAGGTTGTAAACGTTAGGATGCTAAGGTAGTTTACAAACTCAATACAAATCATTCAGTTTAAGACGCGCCAGGCTCTAAGCGGAACGTTGCAAGAATTCATTAGTCAATAGGGGAAAAAAGAAGTCTCAGGTGGATTTCATATTTCCAATTTAGTTCATCCCAATGATCAGAATCAATCCCATGGGACAAGGTTTCACCATATGAAACTGCAGTCTTTCTAAAACCATCAAATTTCTACCATGTTCAATAACCTATGTTAAGTGGAAATAAGGGCTACGAAACTCACTGTGTAGATATCCCTCTCGGTAGCTGAAGCGAAACAAGTTTTTACCAAATCAACAGCTTCTGATTCTGAAAGTGGCGTGACAGCATCCTGCATAAATTAGTGAATCTTAGTTTAGAAAAAAATGACAGTTTTGATTTCTCTTCTTCATACTACATAAGATTAGACGCACACCTGAGCAGGTAACAAAAGGGGACTTGGAGATTTCAGCTGATTATCCAAAAAGGGCATAATCAGTGTGGAACCAGACCCCTGTGCACTGTAACCGGTCCTCTCATAAGATCCCACGGCATCATATGTAAACACGCAACCCTTGCCTAAACATTTGGGAAAACAATAAAAATAACGGTAAGAATAAAGAAACTTAAAAGGGATAAGAACATGTAGAAATGTGTGGAAAGTCTTACCTTCCTGGTCGAGACCAGCCAGAACGTTAAAAGCATAATAAGGGAAGAACCTTTTGTAATATAGGGTGTTTGAGAGTAGTTGAGCCATAGCAGGACAACTCATCTGTTTGTTATGTTGATGCTGATATGTCTACAAACAACCAGAGCCATGATCAGGAGCTATTCCAGCATTTGAAAACACAAAAACCATGCCATTCAATAACATAAGCACGGATCAGGACACCCACCTATCACTTACTAAACATTAAGAAATCCCAAACCCCCGAAGATATACCATGCTCAAAGAGTACAAAAGAGATCATGCAATTTAAACTTCTTAGGAGCAGTTTCTTCTTCCACCTGACTGTTTTACCTTTTTTTTTTAAACTGGGTATGTTGTTGTAGAGTAATGCTTTCCAACTACTATGATCTTCCTATGGGAAGAAGAGCACTACATCTTATTTCAATTTTTACCTTATTTGGTACAAGTGAATAATTATATGTTAGTTCTAGCAAACATGACTCACCAAGTGCCTAGCTTCAAGGACCTTTTGCAGAGCTCTAACATCAGCCTGAAATCCAGAGGAAGCCAAAACAGATTTGTCCGCTCTGGAAAAAGGAAAAAAAAACCAAAAGTAAATGAGTACCGCACTGGAGAACAACTTTATCAAACCCCGCGAAGAGGAGTTTACATTCATAAATAGCACATAGAAAACAATCGAGAGGTTCCTAATGACTGCATCTTCAACAGGATTATTAAAAGAGCCAACAAACTAAGACTCCTTCAGAGATGAGAAACAACTAAATCTGAATAGATAAGTGATAATGAATCAGGGGAGTATAAATAATCATGGTGAAATCAGAATAGTTTAGTTGCTCAAAGCTAAAACCTTTCAAGACAGTTTAGTGGTGAAAAGCTAAAACCTTTCCAGCTCCTGACATCAACAACACGACTACACACATCAATATGCTTCTGATAAAAGCTAACTCAAAGTTCCCAGCAGAACCAATATCCCTTAAACCAACTTATCCTTGAAACAGTGTTTATGTACTGGAGCTGCGACCACCCAGAGCCCACTCTTGAACAATTCCACTTTTGCTGTATGACAATCAAAATTACCTTTCTTTTCAAAATTGTGCATCCATTATAGTCTGTGTTTTCTATAACTAGTTACATGTCATATACAAAACACGAATCAACATATAAAGATACGATTTTTACATCAAAAAAAAAAAAAAGCAAATCCAAATAATGGAAAAAGTAACAATTGGTAACAGGCTAACATCAAATGTCGAGAAGCCCTAATTTTATCAAACACGCGAGACAAAATCAAAATCGATACTTTGAACCTAAAACCCTAAGTACCAAACAAACTAGAAAGCAAACTTACAATTGACGTATTTTGGAATAATCGCGGGTCAAAACATTGTAGCCGGTGGACATTCGAGTGTCCGCCGCAATCACACAATAATCGGCACCGGCAACCGCCACGCAGGTGCTGCAAATCAACAACATAGAATCAGCACAATATTGGGGGCTAAGCACACAAAACGACACAAAAGAGAGAACAAATTTAAACTGATTGATTACCCTCCATTGTTGTCGTAAGGAGAGAAGCTCGCTTGCTGAATCGTCATGAATCTGGGGAGAAGTTGATCGATTGGAGTTCGTTTCTACAGAGAAAGCAGTGTTAATAAATAGCTGAATCGTATTTTGTCCGCTTTTCCTTTTCCCTACGAGATTAAAGTACGAGTATTTATGTATAGGACCCCGTATTTCTCTTTCTTTATCCACAAGACAATTGGATTTGGAGACCCCGGATTTTCACAAAAAAAAAAAAAAGAAAGAAAGAAAAAGAGACCCCGTATTTTCTTTTATCTACGGTTTTTTATTTTTGTTTGACCTCTAACTCCGGCTGGTCAAAGGGGGTTTTTTACTAAATCTTTCTTTTATGGTTGCTAATCTATCTTGTTTGGATAATAGTTCATTTTACATTTTCACTCATTTTACTTCTTAAACACAAAACCCAATGGAAAAGAAAATATCATCCAAATAACTTTCTGATTTACATTTTAAATTCTAACTTGAAACACTTTTTGTTAGTGTGATGACCATTTTAGAACTACAAATAGTTCAGTGACAAATTTGGCAGGATTCCGTTGTTGTGTGATTGTTTTTTGAAAAGTTCTTTTTTGCAGTGACTATAATTGACAGTATTTAATTGTTTAGTGATGACTTGTACTTGATATTTTAAAATGTAGTTCAAAATACTTTTTTTCAAAACCAACATCCAAACAACATTTTTATTTCTCATTTAGTTTTCAATTTGAAACACTTTTCACTTTTAAGTGGCAAAATGAAATGTAAGTTGACGTCCAAACAAGCATACTATAATTCCTCTTGGGATTTCTTGTCCTTTTTTTTTTTTTTGCATTTAATCAACTTCAAATTTTCATTTACTTGTAAATAAACTAATTATCAAACGCAAAACAAGTTTAATATTACTTTTTAGGAATGAAATACCTAAATCATAAGTGTAGTGCATCAATTTTAATATGAAAAGTTATGACTCTTTTTCTACTCAATTTGAGAGTTTCAAACTACCATTTCATAATAGAATGATTCACACACATTTTCTACTATATATATAAATAGTGAGTTTAGAGTTTAGACAAATTTTCGGTAGTATACTATCACATGTATAAGTCTCATCTTCTCCTCTTATGTTCAACTTTTTCCTTTTCCTATAATTTACCATCGTCATTATGATTTTTTATTTTTCATTCAATCTCCTAATAATGGTTTGTCCTTAATGTAATTATTTATTTTTCTTCCAATCCTCTAATAATGGTTTCATTATTTCATTCATTATTAGATTCATTTAATCCTTAGAGTTACAAGCTTTGTCTCATCTTCTTTTTCATTAATTCCATTTTCTTTTCTCACTTTTGTTCTCTATGGTTTTTTAGACTTTAAATAGAACTCTTTCGGTTGATAATCTCTTTGATGTTAGCCCTTTGTGCTTAGATTTTCTCCCTAGTGTCTATAATCTCTCATTGGCTTCCTATTTATATGAAAAGGAATCATATATAGTTTACTCTCCAGTTACGTGATCACAATGTATATGATTTCATTTCATTTTTTTTATGATGATATTTTAAAACTAAAACAAGTAAAAGTATTTAGAGAATTGAAAATAATTTAAATATTTTTTAAACATTTTTTTGCATCTCTCATATCATTTGTATTATGCATATTATGTTTTGGTATTATTTTATTTTAAATGTTGGATTAATTCAGTCTCTTATGTTTTTTCTTCATATTTTAAGTGTTTATAAGCATGTAAGTTATTTGTTTGAACGTTCGAATGTTTAAGCAATAATTATTTATTTTTTTGCATTTTACTAACACACTCACAATTGCAGGGATGTTTTTATGCTCCTATGGATGCCACTATCATAGTGAGAAGAATATAAATCTCCACCATAATATGAATTTAATAAAGAAAAAAAATAAAAAGGGGCAAGTTTTAGAATCACGAATTTAAAGCAAACTCGAGAATTAAAGTGCAAGTACATATTAGAAGGTAAGTATTGTTGGCTTTCATGTGTTGGTTTAGGTTTGTTATTTATAATAGTTTTGTTTTAAGTATAATTTTTACAATTATGATTATACATATATTAAAATGTATTTTAATCTAAATGTATCAAAATTTTTTATAGTTGCATATGTGTATTTTTAGGTAAATACAAGATTATTAATCGTGTTATAATGTCACATATGACATTGAATTTATTCAATATAAATTATATTTAACATCATTTTTCTACATTTCTTTTTTTTTTTCTCAATTTATTATCTTCCATTATTTTTATTAAATTTTAAAATTAAGCTACGCACGAAGTGCGTTCAAGCCAACTACTTTACATTATAACTTAGTTGCTTTTAGTCACCTCTATAAGACAAAATTAATTTTAGAATTTAGATCCACCGTGATTTAATAGCTAAAATATTGTATACTGATTTTCTCCCTCTTTTTTTTGCCAATTTTTTCTTTTTATATTTTTAATTCTAATTAGTACTTACATCCTACAGGCTACTCTATCCGTTTTATATTGTGATGTCTTTTTTTTTTAAAAAAAAAAATCGCATTCTTATTTATAAGTTATTTGACGTCTTTAAAGTTTGAGTTATCGTATTATTCCAAATATATCTATTAATTTAATTGAATAATACTAATGTTAATATTTTCTAGATTTCCTTCTATCATCAAATAATTTTACGAAAATTGATTTACATTTTAAATTTATAAGAAATTATACATACTATAAAAATTTTTAAGAGATATAGTTATTATCAAATAAATTATCCCCCTAATTTTACAAATGTATAAAGTTTAAATGAAAAGTGTTCAAACATATGGATGTGAGTCTCTTCTAACTTTTTTTATTGTAAATTAGGAGTTGTTGTTTTTTCCTTTTGACTAAACTGTATAAATGGTCCCCTATATTTATCCGAATTTAAATTTTGATCCCCTATATCAACATGTATATAGATTGGGCCTTTACATTTCATTTTGAAACTTTTTGGTCTCTTTTCACTGTTCCGTCACCATTTCCGTCTTGATGCCCGTTGACCCTACCAAGTCAGAGGTATTTTCGGAATGACACATATAAGACAAAAGACTAAACTGTATAAATGGTCCCTTACATTTGTCCGAATTTAAATTTTGGTCCCCTACATCAACATGTATATAAATTGAGCTTTTACATTTTATTTTGAAACTTTTTTGGTCTCTTTTCACTGTTCCGTCACCATTTCTGTCTTGATAACCGTTGACCCTACCAAGTCAGGGATATTTTCGGAATGACACATATAAGATCAAAATAACAAATGTTTTTATAATAAAATAGAATAAAATATTAAAAATTATTATTTTATAATAAAAAATTAAATAATGTAAAAATTAAAAAAATTAAAATGATTTCAAATTTCAATTTTTTTTTTCACTTCCCACCTTTGTGGGTTCCACATGCCAGTCAATTTCTCCCTTTTTTTTGCTACAGTAAAAAAAATCAAAATTAAAAAGTAAACTTACCTTCACCCGTCTTTTACCTTTATCCTTAAAAATTTTATTTTCATAATCCGAAATGCCATTTATTAATTTTATTCTTACCAAGTCACTGCTGGTAAAGGTAAAAGACGGGTGAAAGTAAGTTTACTTTTTAATTTTGAGCAAAAAAAAAAGGAGGAAATTGACTAGCATATGGGACCCACAAAGGTGGGAAGTGAAAAAAAATTTGAAATTTAAAATTTGAAATCATTTTAATTTTTTTATTTTTACATTATTTAATTTTTTATTATAAAATAATAATTTTTAATATTTTATTCTATTTTATTATAAAAACATTTGTTATTTTGATCTTATATGCGTCATTTCGAAAATACCCCTGACTTGGTAGGGTCAACGGTCATCAAGACGGAAATGGTGATGGAACAGTGAAAAGAGACCAAAAAGTTTCAAAATGAAATGTAAAGGCTCAATCCATATACATGTTGATATAAGGGACCAAAATTTAAATTCGGATAAATGTAGGGGACCATTTATACAATTTAGTCTTTTGATCTTATAAGTGTTATTCCGAAAATACCCCTGACTTGGTAGGGTCAACGGTCATTAAAACGGAAATGATGACGGAACAGTGAAAAGAGACAAAAAAAAGTTTCAAAATGAAATGTAAAGGCTCAATCCATATACATGTTAATGTATGAGATCAAAATTTAAATTCGGATAAATATAGGGGACCATTTATACAGTTTAGTCTTTCCTTTTTTACCAGAGAATTAGCTCAAAATTTTATTTTAACCGCCCCAGGTTTCCATTTTAGTAACTCCAAATCCTCTAATGTCAGTACTAATAAACCTCGTAAAAGCGAAGTTTTAGTCATCTTAGATTCGAAGACGGAGTAGAGTACAGATATACATACACTTTTGTATATGCAGAATTCGAGCAAAATCTCCCAAGCTAGACAACCTTTTCAGTTTGCCTTGCCTGGGGAGAAAAGGATACTAAAAATTGACTGTACAAGAAACATCCCAAAACGTTAGGGGAGGGGTTAGTTCGTGAAGAAGAAATCTATTATGGGGGATATAATTGCTTGGTTAGTTTCGTTTTTCATACTCATAGCTATTCTTGGTGTCATCCTTTATCAGGTAACTTCCCAATTTCCTCGATTTTTTTTTTTTGGAATTTTTAAGTATGTAAAGAAAAATCTTGTTGGGTTTATAAATGGTTCGTTTGTTTTGGTCATTCGACTGGGTTGCTTGATTGCTGTACTTTGAACTGATCTTTTAATGGTGTTCATAGAATAATTAATGAATTCAGATTCCAGGAATTTATCTTTTCCCCTTTATTGCTACAAAGAATAAAATCTCAATTTGAGGGAAATGAGGGTTGAACTTCCTGCTCAGCTTGTCTTGCCGTATTGTTGTGTTTGCGAAGTTGAGGATGTGATGTTTACTTCCAATTTTGATTCAAGTTGGCCCTAATGGGGCTTAATGTGGTGTTAATTTCAGAAGTTAGAAGTACAAGCGCAAAACATTCAAATGATTGTTCTTGGTCTACTAGATGACTTCGCATGTATTAGGGTTTGGACATAGTTATCGTTAGAGATCCTGATGCAATGAGAACCATATACAGGAAGTTAGCTGATGGTGTTAAATTGAAATGAAACTCGGGTATTTGTTTGGAATTCCTACCATCTCTATGCTTTCTGGAACATGTTTAGATTTATCGTGGGATCAAGTTCGCATTTTGACGTCAATTCTATAATCGTCCTTTGTTCTCATGAAGACTGATAACAGTTATGATATTTAGTAGTAGTTGTGTTCAGTGTTTCTTACGCAGGGATTATGTCTTTCTTTCCATTTATAATGTTTTCATTTCTGGTTTAAGGAGATGATGACTGTCTCTGACCGGGTCACTATTGCAGCTTATGTGTTTAGCAGACCTTGAGTTTGATTACATAAACCCATACGATTCCGCATCCAGGATAAACAAAGTTGTTCTGCCAGAGTTTATCACCCAGGGAGTTCTATGTTTTCTTCATCTCGTAACAGGACATTGGGTGATGTTTTTGCTTTGCCTCCCCTACTTGGGTTATAACATAAAAATGTAAGTGTTTGCATCTTGAACCTAGAGAATCTTTATAATATCAGTCCATGCCAAAAAGTTTTGGTTTGAGCTCGTTAATAGGAAGATCATCCTCAAAGTAAAACCCATTTTCCTTTTTTTCTTCTTTACCAAAAAAATGCCCGTGATCCTTGGTTGGGCTTGATGGAGTTATCATAATCCTTTCCTACTTGATGAAGTGACTGTCTATGCCCAGAGTTGTCAAATTTCAGTTCCTTTTTTTAGTTTAGCCTGATAAAATTGAAGTGCTACCCTAGGTAGGAATGCATGGCTCACCTGTGTTTTCCACATCAATTGGTGGAAGAGTTTTAAAAGAATTTACATGTGAAAGTTGCCAGTCTCATGTTGCCCCAGTTATTATCTTTTGCTTTCTTGTCATTCTACATTATCATCTCTGTGGATAACTAATGTTAATGCATTATCAGGTATAATGAACGTCGCCACTTAGTGGATGTTACTGAGATTTTTAATCAGCTTCCATGGGAGAAGAAGATACGCTTATATAAGCTTGGGTATCTTATCGTCCTCATGGCCTGTTCTATATTTTGGTATGTATTTAAGGGACAATGCTGGTGATGGTAAATCGGTTTTAAGCTTTCATGCCAATAGTTTGATAATCACTATTTTCCCTATGTTTTACCTTCCTTTTAGGATGATTTGGAGCATTGTGGAGGACGAATGAACAACTTGGGGGCATATGTTGGAAAGTATGTGCTATTGCTATTAGTTTCCCATTTCTTTTTCTTCAAGAGTGAAAATCTTTTCTCTTTTTGTTGTGTGCAATATTATGCCACTCTGTGTGGAAGGTTAATTGTGATTGATGCATCTCCGTGCACTCGTAAATGTCAATGCTGTTTCATTTTAGAAAAATAGATTTGATTCACAACCTTCAGATTGCGAGTACGGTTGAGTTTATGCTGTTTACTTTGATATCCCTTCAAGTCTACCTCTAGGTTTTGCCCCGAGGTTTCTCATTGAAGTTTATTGTACCACAACCTTGTTTCTTGAACTGCTTTATGACACCATCCGCATGTGTGTGAAGCTAGGTAATATAGCTTGTGCAAAGTAGTCTACACTTGAAAATTTATTCGTAGGAGTGGTTTAATTATCCCTATGGGGCATCTACTTATTTGCTAGAGATAAAAAACGAAAAAATGACTGGGTTTTTATGAATGATCGACATTTCAGAAGAAAGTGAATGAAAGAGGCGCTGGTAGATAGGATCATTAACCCGTGGATACTGCGTTCAATTCATTACACAGTGCCAAAAAGATATATCTTTGTTTATCTCTGTGTCGACCCCCCTAGTTTTGTTGCTTGTTGTTCAGCAAATATTATAAAGAGACGGCAACTAAAATGAAGATTTTTCATTCAATTTTATTTAGGCCGTTTGACGGGAAAGTCTTCACTATTGGTTACCTCGTGTAGTTTATGTTGTGGAGGGGAATCGGGGAAATTTAAGCATCTTTTGTCCTTGTCATTAGTCTGCAGGTTTTTCTTTGAAAGATCTTATTGTAAAATATATCGTTGGCTACTTTCATTTAGTCCCCAAGACACAATGCACAAGAATTCCTGAGCATCGCCTCACTCATTTAAACATAAATTCTGTGTATTATTGGATGTCTATTATAATTAAGAACTAAACGATACACTGTATATCATTTACGTATTATTTGGAGTTTAAGTCAGAGTGCTGAGCAAAAGTTTTCAAGCATCTCTTCACTTATCAAAGCGTAGTCGTTCGATGTCTGTGTTCCTGCTTCTTTTTGGACTTTGTGTAGGCCATATTTCCATGATTTCAGATCATCTACTTGCTGAAGCAGTCTCTCCAGATCTGTTCTTTGTGGGGTTTGTGTAGATGTTGTTGCAGCTTTTAAATTAGTCTTAAAGTCCATTTTCTGATAATCGAAGTTTTGCAAACGAGCATTGATCTTAGCATCAGACCTAGATCGCTAATAGTCTTTTGCTGCAACTGTTTACAGGGATCATTCTGGAGGGGGGAATTGGAGATGAAAGATGTAACCTTATGTTGTTGTACTTTTAGGATATTATTAAAAAAAGGCTTTCTTTCTTCTTCATTGTTCAAATCCGGCGAAAGAGGGATGTCGGTGGCTGTATTGACTTCATCTTTTGGTGTATCACCACCCTTTATTGTGTAATTTCCACTTCTATAGATCAGGAACTAGCATTCATTAGCAGGTAGTTCTTTTCATGGGAAGCCCCTTGTGGAATGTGAGTAATTTGTCATCTTTCTTTTTTCCTCCCCAACTGCCCTTTAGATGTGGCATGTATAATGATGTTAATTGTCTTTGTAGATTGTAGAGCATTTTGTATTTATCTCCATTCATGATCTTCATTTGTTTAAATCTCAAGTTTTTGAAAGACAACAATAAAGTGGCATATGACAAAAATGAAATTCAATTTTCCAACAACAATGCAGAACATTGTGGTTGTGGTGATAGGTTCTTCATCAGCAAACAAAATCACTTGATAAAAATAGCTCTAGCAGAGTTTAGTCTGTTACTTATACTCCTGTCCACTAAAAGAGCCTTTGTTTGTTGTACTGTATCAAATTCAATCAACAAATATGGCTCTAATTTTGGGACGGAGAGGACTATATTGCAGAGAAAAACTCTAGTTTTGGGACTATATTGCATAGAAAACAAATATCATCCGCTACTAGAAAATGCAAAAACTTCAACAGTCAAGATACCATGGATCCGTAAACCAATCTAGAAGTTTGAAGAGAAAAATATCTTCAAGCATGCAAGGAAATCGGATTCTTTACCTACTCAAACAAACAGATTGTCTCAAAATACTCCACAGCAACTGCAATTCTTTTCCTCCTTAAGCACGACCTGGATAAACTATCATAACTTTATGTCATACATCTGAACTGCAGTTTCCATCACAAAAGTAAAAAGGTCCATCAACCTGATCAGGGGATCAGGGCCTAAATATCGCAACATCCATCACACATGTCGAAGAAGTATTCTCCTCATCGCATTTGTTCAGCTTGAATACGCACATTGAGCCTTCTTTCAGCCGATTCACCTTATAGAAGTTCCACCAACCGTTGCGCAGCACCACATGCTTAGTCTGTTCCAACCTGATATTCGGAAAATTCTTGATCTCCATCTCAAATCTGCCTTTATCTGTGCACATGATCGCTCTTCTCTTCTTGCGCAAGTCGAACAGATTCATGAAGTAAGATGGAACAGTCTGCAAAACACACTTCAGTAGTTAGATTCTTGATGCAATTAGCCCTAGAAATGAAAATTCTGAGGCTTCTGTTTATCATGTACTACCATGTAATTGCGATCGTGGTACTTCTGAATTATAAGTTCAAACTGGATATCATCTCTTCTGATGCCTCCTCTTGCAGAAGAAGCACCTAATCAAAGAGCATATAGACCTCAGCCAGCATTTTAGGCAAAGCCAAAAACAAAAAAAACAAAAAAAAAACAAACAAAAAGAATAGAACTCTAGCTGAATAAGCTTCTTCTTCTACCTGGTCTTTTCTTGACATTTTGATGCATTTGGGAAGGAACTGCAGCAATTGGATATTCCCCTATGAACCTTTCCACCCATACTGAGTAGCCACTGCATTCTAACATCTTGCAAGCGATAATGTCGAACTTAAACCTCTCGCTTTCGCGAACGACTAAAAGACTAGTCACATCAATCTGGTGCTCTTGACAAAACTTTTCCCAACCAGAACCAACAAAAAAGCTTCCTCCCTGATTGCATTTCTTCAGATTTGCTTTGAACTCTCCCCTCCATGTTTTGAGGCACACTTTACACATACTTCCATTAGTGCCTGCCACCTTTATGTTCCCAGGAAGTTCCTGCAAGAGTAACATCATAATACTATCATCAAGTATCAACTATCCATCCGAATATATACTTCTTATCAAACATAATCAATAATAGGTGGAATGAAGTAACGAATACTTACGCTTACTAGCTCATAGCCATCAGACAACTTCATACAAAAATCAGCAGCACCTCCTGGTTGAACATTGTTACATGGGAATTTCAGCAATCGCGAATGCCGGTCGAATACAGAAACTTCGATTTCTTGGGGTGTCTTGGACTTAAAGAGGATTACATCTAGCATAGCTAGTTTGCTTTGTTGAACAAAAGCTTTCCAACCATTACCAGAGAAAAGGACCAAATGTCCTTCGGAATCCGATACATCGATAATCCATGAATGATTTCCAGCTCTCAGATTAATCTTTTCTGGTGTCACCATCTCGTGTTTCAGCAAATAATGATCGACAATTTCCTGGACAAAAGAAACAGAATGACGATTTCTGATGTAAGTTTTCAGGAACACAATGACAGATTCCTCAAAGCAATCTTCAATAATTAGCATTTGGATGAATGAATGAACAAACTGAACGAATCTGAAAGAAGTAAGAACATACCATACTCTCATTGTTTAATCCTGTTGCCAACATGATGAAAGGAAACATCTTGGCTAACCTACAATGCATGAAAAGAAAATGTTAAAAAGGATGAAACTTGTCACCACATTTACATTATCAAAAAGATGGAATTATGTCGTCTTTATATAACCCAAATAGAAATCGATCGAACTAATTTAAGCTCTCAACTATGGACTTACAAAAAACCTGTATCCCCTTGTAAACTTTACTAATCCAAAATCTAAACAAATCATCATTTCACAGTCAAACGCAGCATGAATGTATCCTTCACAAACTTTTTTTGACCCAGAAAGTGAAAAAATACAGAGGAAATTAAACAAAAGATCAAAGAGGAAAACGCAACAATGTAAGTTCCTATGCTGAAATTTCCATCAGGACCAGTTTGAAAGAAACAAGAAAAACCCCACAACTCTGAATTACTGATCATAATGTCATAAATACATGTGAAACATTGAGTTAAATCGCCGGTAAAGAAATGACTTTTTACCTGGAGAAGAGCTTCAGAGATGGCCTTTCCCCTGTAAACTAGACCAACCCAGAAAAAACCCAATGCCCAGCTCTGCAATAATACATAATACAGGACAAAAGTAAAGCTCGCACATATCACATGTGAGAAGCCTTGATAGAAAAAAAAAAAGTTGAATTTTGCGATAAAGGGCGTGCTTTCAGTTTCCTGACGGATCCTGATGAAAAAGCTTCCATCGGGGGAGGTAACAGGATTCCTCTGTTTTTCCAGTCAAAAGGAAGGTTCCAAAATGAAACTAAACCACACACACAATTCAACAAATCCTCACAGAGAATCACGAAAAGATGGTACCCATACAGCCACATTGTTGTAAACTAGCAGTTTCTAGTTCTGACATGGAGAAATTGTGTGATGATATTTAGTTCAGGCAGTACAGCATTGAGCTGAAAGTGGTCTTGCATGTTTGAAAATAAAGCAAAAAAAAAAAAGTGTTCTGCTTCCTTAGCTTAAAATGGAATGGAAAATTTGGTGAGTAAAACAAAAGAGTTGTTGTTTTGATATTTATGCCATTGTTTGTTTTTTAGGCTGACAAAAAGGGAAACCACCCTTGAATAGTTGAATTCCTTAACACCAAACAGATTTGTTAAAGCTATTTTATTAGTAGTGTTTGATCCACTGCTTACATTAAACCATGATTAGAGTACGCCCCAAAAAAATTATTCTACTTTGTTAAAATTAAAACAGTATAACAAAGTGTACTATTTTTCAGACGGAGTTAGATAATTTGATACGATTTCATACTTTACCTCAATTACATTGTACCCAAATCATCTGTATGACAATTTATCACCTTCTCATTTAATTACTAAAAGTTGGGGGGGAAAAAAATTAGCATCATCATCAATATAGTAGTAGGAGAGGATAGGTAATTTCTGGAAAAGGAAAAACTGCAATGCACCTAATAAATATAAATTATAAAATGACTATAAACTGAGACCTAACCAACACTCAAGATTCCTATCTTTGTTATAGATAAAACCAATTAAGTAAGGAAATCTGTCACAAAAACATAGATAAAATGTTTTCATTTCAATTTTCAGAACACAAATTGGAGGTATAGAACGACATCTCCTTATCGTTTAGTGGTCTCAGATTATAAAAGCATTATTATAATCAAAACTTTAACGATTGAGATTATGACGTTAAATTGACCAACTTCATTTGAGGATTTTTTTAATTAAAATTTTTTTTTTGCTGTTCATTAAATGATGAGTATAATAAAGTTTAAGTAATAGACTTGAAAACATATTTTCCTTTAGAAAAAAGAATAAAAAGTTTAAAGATTGACTTAAAAAGTCATTGTGGATATGTAAACTAAACGAAAAATTAGATCCATATTTGTGCACACTTGTGAGTTTAGAATGCAATTTCCACTCGTCAAAATGACTACCTACGGCTGATCCTATTCCTCATACGTAAGACATGGTGAGCTATACAAAAGATGAGACCAGAAGGACTTTTAAGACACGATTCATTGGTGAATTAAACTAGAAATTTCTAAAGTTCTCAAAATTATTAAAAATTGAACTGTAGTATTTTGCTAAGTTATTTGCGTGCATGAATAGCGATGATGGATGAATGAAATGTTGGCGTATCATGAACTTCTTTACATATTTGGTTGGATGAGATTTTAAGCTTTTATTAATCCTTCACATTCTATCTTAACTTATGGTAATATGGCTCTTCATTATTATCAACAGTAAAATCCCAATTATATGCAATATCCCGTAAATGTGAACTTCTTTAAGTAAAAATATTGTTGTCCTTACGCATGTCCACGGTTCCGGTTCTAACCGAAACCGAACCAAAACCTAACCGACAGTTATGGTTTGTAACCGAAACTATAATTGACGGTTTTAAGAACCATAATCGAACCACATGATGAAGGTTTAGTTATGGTTCTCGTGTTTCAGAAACCGAGAACCGACGGTTTTAACCGGTGATTCTAACTAGTTTAAATAGTTGTTTAATACTAATTTTATATAAAAAAATTTATAAATTATAAATACATGTACATGTTTGACATATCTCGTGTCTAATTCTGTAAACAATGATTATTTATTATTTTTAATAAAAAGAGTAAGTTGATCCAAAGATAAGAAATAGTGACATTGATAATTGATACTATATTATAAGTTAACAAGTGTTTCCTAAAAGATTTTTTGTATATTTGTAATTTAATTTAATTCTTTATGTTCTATAAGACATTTCATTCAAAAAAGTGTCTTAATAATTTAAAATTATAAAAGTCTTTATAAAATTGAATGAAAACTTACATCAAATAAAATTCAAATATGTAAAGAAACCGAATCATAATCAAATCGAAACTTACGGTTCCAAAACCAGAACCGAAACCACAATCTCAAGATTCGGTTTCCGTTCGCATCATCGTGGTTTTAGAACTACCAATTTCAGAACCGAAACCGCTGGTTATGGAACCGTGGACATGCCTAGTTGTACTCTTTCCATTTCACAACAAAAAAAGGCATGTTTATTAGTATACTAAAGTAATTTAACTGGATTGATTCTTAATTATTTAGAGTAAAGATGGAGTACACCCTTAACAATATTTCTTGTAGCCCAAGGAAGACAAAAGGATTTTTGAGAAGTCAATCCATCAAAATGACTAGTTCCTTGTAAATGTTTTTTTTTCCCCCTTTTTTAAGTGATCGATGGACACAAACAAAACCAACAAACCCAAACAAACAAAAAACACACAGACACACAGGAAAACGTAATCAACAAGAAGATTGGAAGAGATATCTTAATCCAATTAAATTAACTCAATATATAGTTGGAAAGTTTTTTTTTTAAAAAAAAAAATTTGGGTTGGAGAGGAGTGACGATTGATGATGAAACAATGGGTGCGTCATCTAACATTTAATTTCTTCTCTTCCCTCATCTTCATCATTTTTCTTTAACGTTTTTTGGACAAAATTTCCAATGTTCCTTTTGACTTTTGTTTGGATGCGTAGACTTGAACAGTTGTTTGAAGTGTGAAAAGAAATAGGAAATGAATATTAAAAGTTGACGGAAAAATAGGCTGAATTGATTTGTGTTTTTCATTTGTTAGTGGCTTTGATATCTGATGATGAGATTCTCCTCCTTGTCTTCTCTTTTTTATACATAAATTATCAGTGGACAGCAAAGAGTAGATTTTTTATCTTTAGTTGAAAATTAGATAGGATCGTACACCTCCTTAATCCAATTATTAATCCCAACCATACATGTTGATTGTATGCTTCTTTTTTTATAAAAATAAAATTAAAAAAAAAAACTAATCCGATGATCATCATACTGCTTACATCCGTTCATTTTAATATTTTATATTGTTTAGTAATTTGATTAATAAAATGTGTTGTTAAAATAGAATAGAGAGAGTATAATTTATTCGGAGACGATTATAACAAGTAATGTTCTTTGGTAAGAGCTTCAAAAGTACAAAATTGAGTTTAATATTTGTTTTTCAATCACTATATAAATTCAACATTTAGCATTGATATATTTAAGCGTTAATTTTATTTTATCACTAAATACCTCTAGTTCCTACCGTTAAATCAGTGCCGGAAAGGGAAAATGAAGTTTTAGGTGTTACACTAATATATAGATATATACATATCGGTATGAAGTATATATACATAGCTTTACAAACAAGAAATCAGGATATACTCGTCAAGTAATATCCTAGAATTCCTTGATGAAAAGAAAAAAAAAAAAAACCTATGTATATGTACAAAAACACAAACAAGAAGAACGTATCAACACGACAACACTATTGGTGTTGTCTACAAAGCATTGAGCCCTAACTAAGAAAAGCATGCACGAGCCGAGTAAAAGGTTTACACACACACACACACACACACTTTTCATATTTACAAAATTGAAACTAATAAATGATATATACCTTCTAACAATCTAACAACAACATGTCACTCTGGAGTTCCTCCCTCCATTTCTTGGTATTCTCATCAATAAATTGTTCAATCCTCTTGTTGAAATCATCAATATCATCTAAATCTTCATAACCACCGTACTCCTCCTCCTCCTCCTCCTCACCATCATATTCATAATTCCAATACTCCTCGAACTCACCAATCAAAAACTCATCTTTTGCTCCATGATCATCCTTCTTTTTACAACCATCATCAAGAAAGACGCCGCGGCTCCGGCCTTCGACTCCTTCTATTAATCCTTTCTTGTAATATTCAACGTGCACTATTTTTGGGACAAATTCTTCGTTGTACCCTTCTTGATGATAATCATGATCATAAAAATCACCATAACCATAATAAGGAAGACCAAAAACTACTTCTTCTGTGTTGTTGAACAAATCATTCTTGAAGTCGAAATCGAAACCACTTTCTTGATGGGATTGTTCTTCTTCTTCTTCTTCATAGTCAACATAAACTACTCCAGGCCGGATGAAATAGTCCTTGTAGAAGTACTCCAGTTGCTTAATATTGTTGTCTTCATCTTTCTCTTCTTTAACACTTTTTTGACCTTCGTATGAATCAATGAACGAAGAGATGGACAGTTCTTCTCTGTTTTCTGATGACACAGAAAGATGAGAAGAAATTCCCAAAAGGACACCAACCAGAAGGATGTTAAAGATGAAAAATATGAACAAATAACTAGGTTTTGTAAAGGTCAAAATATGGTAAAATATACCAGTGAAAGAAACTTGTTCATGATGATGATCAATATCATCTTGATGAGGAGCTGAGCAGGATGATTTAGAGGAGAAGAACAAGATATCCCGGATTACAAGATACACAATCACAACTGCTGCTGAAGTAATCCTTGTTACCATTTTCATATAAACTTTTGTAAAGAAAAATTTGAGCAATTTAATTATTGTATTTTTTATTTTCTTTTTCTTCGAGAATATGGCTGGAATTAGTGAATGCTTGATGACTAAAAGTACATATTTATAGCCCTGATGAAGGAGATAAGGGAGTCTAGAAGTTGTGTCAGACAATAAAAAAAACAAAAGCTAGAAAAGGAAAAAAAAAAAAAAAATTTGACCAAGAATATGATTCAAAGAGTTGGGTTGCTTACGTTGTGATGAAGAGTGCAAGATTTGCATATGATTTGGCAGATAGTAACTTAGTCGAATTAGTTATGATCAGTGCATGCATGCTTGCTATTTTATTTTTTTTTCTTAATTTTGTCCATATTTACTTGTCTAATTCGAACTAGTTTATTTATGATAGTAACAACAAAATTAATGGGAGTTTTTAAAATATTTTGTGTTGTAATCGTGCATTGGATTGTTTTGGCAGGATTACCAGTACAAAGCAGGGACAAGATCCTAGCGAAACACAACTACATATGCGTATGTGATGATGCCATGAAAGAGGGATTAAAAAAATTAATTCAAGTAACAAAGATCTTGGACAACAATTTTAAATGAGAAGAAGCACATGTCCATTAATGGAGCCAGGAATGCTATAGTTGCACATCCTGATGTAAATTGAACTCTAAATTTTTATATATATATATATGTATATATATATATATATATATGTAAAGAGTTGAATATCAACTTTTATCAAAGGCCTCCTTAGCAAACACATATTTGCATGCTGATGAAATTCGAACCCGTGAATTTTCATTATATAGAGTATGAGTATGAATCCCAAGTTCCTATGTTAGCCGAAGTTCATCTTTATTTCTTCCTACTAATAAGGGACTTGAATTAGTAACAAAGGATTCATATGGACTGGTTTTCATTTTAAGTTTAAAACGTGATTGAAAAAAATATTTTAAGTATAACTGTAAGAAATATGTATTGGTTTCCATCATCACTAGATCACAATCCGGCCCCTTTGAATCATCGGTGGCCGGCCCGGAAATTGGTAGAGGAGTTCGACAACCGGTCAGTGGTCCGGTGGTGGTGGTCCTGGTAGATTGGAACACATGTCTCTTAACATTAGATTTTTTTTTAATTTTTTTTTCATTTTTAGAAAAAATAGAAATAGTTAAAAACTATACTGGCCCTAGTAGTTTGGAAGACCCTTGTTTCTATTGTTTCATAGGGAAATTTAGATGTCTTTATTAATCCAGAAAGTAAAGTGCTTGTTTGGACATCAAATTACATTTCATTTTGCCACTTAAAAGTGAAAAGTATTTCAAATTGAAAACTAAATGGGAAATAAAAATATTGTTTGGATGTTGGTTTTGAAAAAAAGTATTTTGAACTACATTTTGAAATATCAAGTACAAGTCATCACTAAACAATTAAATACTGTCAATTATAATTACTGCAAAAAAAAAACTTTTCCAAAAACAATCACTCAACAACAGAATCCTATCAAATTTGTCACTGAACTATTTGTAGTTCTAAAATGGTTATTACACTAACAAAAAGTGTTTCAAGTTGGAATTTAAAATGTAAATCAGAAAATTGTTTGGATGAAGTTTTCTTTTCCATTAGATTTTGTATTTAAAAGGTAAAATGAATGAAAATGTAAAATGGAAGGTTGTCCAAGGTCAAATTACAAGTCTTTTTCTTTATGGGAAATGATGCTGACAGTCGGAACAGAGTGAACAAGACAAGGTTTTTGTTCAAATAGAAAAAGGCCGACACAACAAAGATGTTTCGAGTTTGGAATGAAATGCCATTTGCAGACAACAGTTTGAGTTTAGTCAAATTCCGTCACCAAAGTATTGGAACCTTGGAATAGTAGTAGTAATACTACTGTTTCAAAAGATTCTTTTGGCAATTTGGTTTTATCGTCCAATACCCTTCCACCCTTAACTACTGTCCAAATCCAACTCAACCCCCCCATCTTAGGTCCACAAAGATCTCCATCCTCTAAATTTGTCTCCTTAATCAAACCTTCATCCACTCTTACTACCATGATATGTTACCATTCGGTTTTGCTTTTGATAATGATATGTAGACACAATTGATATTAATATCTAAAATGGGACTCAATTTTGGAACATCCCAGAAAAAAAAATGAGTCTATTGATTTAGAATGGAGGAACTAGTATGTAGGAGAGTTGGTTTGAATTTTCAATAAAATTTTCATCCGAAAAACTTATAATTTCAAGTCCGAGATAATTTTTGGAAATTTGACCTTAGAGATTAGCTTCACATGGGTTCACTATTCAAGAGAACACTAAAGCTATTAAAGATCATTGGATCACTATTTGTGTGGCAAATAGTAAAAACACATGCATCAAAATGATAATGAGTACATATGATCATGAATTAGTATCATTCTACAACAAACTAAGAGATAACTTCCTACAACAAGCATTAGTCTCTGTCATTTGAGATATCCTTCCTACTGAAACTTGAATATCACTAGCCAAATGTTCCTACCTACACTAACCAAAAAGTCTGGAGACTTCCCTATACTGACTGAATCCAAGAAAGAATACGTGAAACAATGGTATCAGGGGCATTGGATTACTGTCCTTGCAAGGGAATGTTGATGTCAGTGTTTGAATTTCTTGTATCATCCACTGCAGACATGTTCGTCCAATTAGCCGTCGGAAGAGTTGAGGAAGGCATGATACTGTGACCTGTCGGAAAGGAGTGGTTCATGGCTTGCATGTTAGAGTTCCTGTGCTCTATCATGTTAGTGGAATGAGGTGGTGGGGAAGCAATAGCAGATCCTGCGGCAGCAACTGCTACTTTCTGTTCATATTTTTGCTTCTTCGGTTTCACTTCATTTTGATTGCTAGGAAGAAAACTGCCTACAACAACCTGAAGAAATTTTCATACGTTCATGAGAATCACTACCGAGTAATGCTGCCTATAATTTCTAAGTTGCCAAAGATCAGTTCCCCCTTTCTATTTCAGAAAACAGCAGTAAAATTTGAAGTAAGCAACATATGCTCAATATAGTAGAAAGAAAAAAAAAAAAATCAACAGAAAGGCTCATACCTGTACAGGACTGGCAGCAATTAACAGTCCGGCGAGTGTACCACCAACCACACGACCATCAGGACTAGCCAAAGAAATGCTCATACCCCCAGTTCGGCCCATTCTTGATCCAGCTATTTCCGTAGGGGTGAATGATCCCGTCAAAGAAAGAATTTCAAATCGACCCTACAAACAGTTAGAATATCATATTACAGACTCCAAGTCCATCTGCCAATGACTTCCATTTGCAAGTGGAAATATCATATCACAGACTCCCAAAAGAATAAAAAATAAAAAAAATCGACTTCTGATTACACAAGCAAGTTAATGAGTCCGCTCCGAGTAATGAGAAATTGAGAAATGCATAGAGCCAATGCAAACATTACCATCTCTTCTCTTGTTATCTGATTATATGATTGCAGATGTTTTTTTCCTTTATCTGGAGAAAGGTCATTAAACAATAAGGGAATTCCTACTGTATCTTCTCACAAATTAATCAATACCACTGAAATCTGGCGAAATAGGATTCCACGAAGTCAGTAATCAGATTCAGTACATTGTCAAAAAAGAGAGTAAAAATAGTGATATCAGTCACTGTCATAACAATCAATCAAAGTTTGGACATATGTTGAATTGAAAACAAGCATTCCTTATGCAGAACCTTGAAACCAAACCAACCAAACTATACTGTGGCATACCAGATACCCCAGGATCACAATCACAAAATTGTTACAAGATTCCTCATGGCGTACCTCATACGTCAGTGTGCCCCCAGAAGAATTTGGCTGCCGTAGTGTAACATTTGAAATAACACCAACAGCAGAAATCACACAAACTGCCCGTGGTCCTTGTTGACAAAATGAGATAATCTTCATTGAGACATCCTGAATTAGGATAACCAAGACTCCCTATGTTAAAAGTCACAAAAAAACCACTTCACAGCTACTTAACTTTGTTGGAGTTGGAGGGCAAAGAAGAAGGTTACTTTATGTCTAAATGAAAGTGACAGCAACAAAATCATTCACTTTGCCCTCACATATGCCTCCATTCTCAAAGAAAAGCATACCAAAAATTCCAGCAAGCATCCTCCTAAAAGGTTCTAGGCTTGTAAAAAAATGTTAAAAGGAGAAAAAAGAAAGAGAAGATTTGCATAGGCATAGGATGCAGTTTCTCCCAAGAAAACGATGGATGACATTCAGAAACGTTTAAGAACACACTGAAAAGAAAGAGCTTTGAATTTCTAAATAACACTTGAGGTATATTTGAGAATTAAATACAAATCAGTTAAGATCCATCCCGTGTATATCCTCTTTGTTATCACACTTCAACAACAATCTCATGAAATTTTCCTCAAAACACCTTGAATTTGGTTAAGTGCTCAAATTGTGTTTGTAATGACTAATGTTCAAGTACTGTCATCAGATAGGAGAAGTTGACGAGATCTAAGAAGTTGGCTCCCAATAAGAGGTTCAGTCTCTGTATCAACATACCTCACCAGCATTAACAGTGATCATGTGGGGCAAGAAACTTTGACCAGTTGAAAATGCAAGCCACTCACCTACAAATAAAACCACAGGGGATAATACTATCACTGTCACAAAATTTTTGATTGTAAGGCATGAGTACCTACTGAAAAATTACAAAAGCCAGGTATCATCCTGGCCTCCCTACCCCCACCAAAAAAAAAAGAAAGCTAGAATATTCGGAGGTAAATATGAATGGAAACACAGCACGCACAGAGAAAAAGGATTTCGGAGCAATCTACTTTTGGGACATGCAACAGTTACCCCTGGAAGATTTGTATTCAACAAATACTTAACAAGGAATCAGAATTGTGGAAAAGAATTTACATGGAAGGCATTTGGTTTGGTTGAATGCAACAGAAACAAAAGCAGCCAAGCTTGTTCAAACATGTTTATGATCAGGCGAAGAACAACATAAACTATCAAGATCTCAAGTAGAAGAGCTGGGCAAACCTTTTCAGTATACCATATTGCTATATCTTGCAATCTTTCAAACAACTAGAGGCTAAATAGGTTATGCAAAGCAAAATATTCAATTACCAGGGTTATCAACTTTAGGCTTATGCTTTTTCTCAGAAGTGAATGGCCTCCCACCGCTAGATGGTTTGTCAGCCAAATAGCCAGTTATAGTTTGAGTAGAGGCTGATAATGGCATTGGTGACAGAGGCTTGGGACCGGCCCCATCGGCATATTTCCTTGGTCTGCCTCTCTTCTTTTTCTCAGATGAACCAATTATTCCTACAGCAGGTGGCGATGGAAGAGCTTGCGATGTTGCAGCAACAGAGGTGAAATTTTCCGTCCTAGGCGCAACAAGATAATTTGATGGAGCCTCAGGGGCTATCACTGTCACTCCTGAATTCATTCCTTCTCTCGATTCCATAATTTACCAAAGGCCACTCCACCTACAATAGCATGTAAGAGAATCCTGTAGAATCTCAAAATCAATCACAGACTTTTGTAACATTTATCATGGGATTTCAGTAAAACAACCTAGCACACTATTAGGTCCCGCTAAAAGTACAAAATCAACAACATTGCTTTTTCACATGCTAAATAGCACTTCAGTAAGGCATGAGACACAGAAACGAAGAAATTCAAAATTGGTGGAAGTTGAAAACAATTCTTAGACAGAACAAACATGAGAAAAAATTATCATAAAAGATCTCTTGGCTTCCTTTTTCAGCAGACTATGCTTAACTAAATCAGCAACACCTTTTTCCGGGATGCACTTATAAAGTATGCATAAGACAAAATTGCAGAGAGCTACAATGAAAGGGATACAAACAGTTCTAATCATCCATCAAACCACTGTCCAAGCTTACAGGCACACATGCACAAGGTAAATTCCCAAAACAGGAAAGCTTAACACAAGTATATCAAATGATGATCAAATTGATCCAGTTCAAAATTTTCTGCCTCCTTATGCGTACGGTGTGCCAAAAAGCTTGCAACAAAGAATCATTTTTGCCAATCATTCTCAAAGATCAGAACCCGGGCCACTTGAAGATGGCAGAATCAGCTAGTATCTTACAACTACAACTGACAACTAAATTCGACACAAGAATTTGAGACCAAACATGTTACAGTATGATGATAAAAGCACACAAAATAAGAACTTTCCATATAAGGAAACAAATGTCATCTGAACTCTAAACCATCTAAGTACATCACAAGAAAATCATAAATAAATGCGACCCAGAAAAGAGAACACTGTAACTTACACGTCCTTGTGAAACCAGCTCCCTCTGCTTCTACCCTTCAATGTATGAAGAAAACAGATTGCCAATAAAGGAAAAAAAAATCTGGTTTTCAGCCTCAGAATAACAGTATCCCGGCAGAAAACCGGCTTTGAGGTGTCCTGAAAACCGGTTTTGATTGGCTTTCCAGGACAAAAGAGTGGTAATTCTAATGAGGTCAGACTGAAGAAGACAGTGAAAATTTGAAAGGGAGAGAAAAATATCGGAAGCTTATTACTGAAAAGAAAAAAGAATAATAAAAGGAAAAAGGAAAAAAAAAAGTTAGTCATAAAAGATAATAATAATAAATGATTTTATCACTAAACCCGAAAAAATGTTACTAATCTGATTTAAGGAAAAAGTTTCAAGTCCGGTGAGAGAGGGAATGAGATTCAAATCTTGAAAATTGAAATGATTATAAATGTTGGAGGATAGGGGTATATAGGTAATTTAAGGATAATTAAGTAGTGGGAGAAAAGGTGGAGTAGGGTTTTGGAAAATGAGTATTAGTATTTCTTAATTGAAGGGAAAATAAAATAACTGTGATTTGGAGGTGGGGGGGACCAAAAATTAGAGTTGTTAGAATGGTCAACCTTTTTTCCTCACAGCTGATCTACTTTTCGTCTTCTTTCAGCAAGTCATATTCAAATGACCATTATGCCACGCCTACTTGAGGTTATTACTATTATTTTACTAATCTAGCGAAACCATAATGATTAGAGAACTCTTCACAACAATCTATAAAAAACTTATTGACAATTAATAATGATTTTTTCAACTCAACATTTTTTAAGTAATTAATCAAAATTTTATAATGAAATGAAATGGCGTACAAACATATAATGCTGATATTAAATGAATCGGTAATTTTTTTTTCTTTTTAGTTAATCATCGTTTTCAACCGTTACTCTAAAAAATTTGCATCCTATTCATTTTTGTGTTGGGATTGTGATGAATCAATGTGGTCTTCAAGTTTGGGGGCTGAGTTGGACACAGAATTGTTAGCTGTAAAGACTGAAACCATCTTAAAAGCGTTGAAACCAAGAACAAAATCAAAATATGACTTTTGCAAAAAAAAAATTGTTGGGTTATCATCAGGCAGGTTTGGTAATAAATCGCTTTATAACTATTCGGGCCCGTTTAAACCTTCTGGTCTACTACTAATACTACTTTGTAGTAACTTTTGTTTTCATGCTCAGTCAAATCGGATACTACCAAAGATATGGACCCCCAAGGTGTTCCTAAAAGTCTTGTCGGGAAACGTAATTTGACATTTGACAACGTTGTATACTAACTAGTACTTGTCCTACTTACTCCATCCTTTGACCACTTCAATCTCTCACTATTGCACTTGAAAATAACCTTCTCGGATCGAATAAGAATTAAAGTTGACAAACTTATGAAGTTGGAAGCATGAAAATACCATAAACTTTCTTTCAAAACCTGTATTATTACCAAAGGCAATATCCATCTTTTTTCTTTTTAAAAATACCCAACACTTGTTAAAACAGTGTTCCAGTAATAGCGTATGATACTTGTCTCTACTTTTTTCTCTTTTTTTCCGGCTCGGGGAATTGAGATTGGCACCAAGTCAAACCAATTGTTAAGTTGTACCAAAGAATGAAACAGTGTCTTGTGTCATCCACAACTTTTACCTGACCAAATCCAAATACAAGAAGCCTAAATCCATTACTATATGGATTTATGGAGTTAAGAAGCTGAAATGCTATGGAGACTGTAAAAAGAAAAACCAACATCTATACAGGCTGTTGAACTCCAAACAAACAACTGACACAAGTTCTAGTTCAAATCTGTGTTAACAAAAAACAAGACCTTAAAAATGAGACTTAAAAAGCGATGAAACCTGCCCTTCTCTCTTCAAAAGAACACTCCATTCCTCTATTACCCGAAGGAATATAAGGCGTTGCAGGAGTCATGGCCATCTGCATTGTAACGGACACTGTTGGGGGAGTGGAAGGCATCGGAATTGGCATCTTCTTTGGGGTTGTTTCACTCCCACCAAATGCAGAAATTACCTTGCTTGGGGTTACCGGGAGACCTGCTTTGCTGATGACATCCTGGTTCTCTTTTCTTTCATAGCGATCGTATGGAAGAAGATTGGCATTGTTGACTTGGCATGAAAATGATGATAAAGGGGAAAGCGGTTTCCTTATCAATTTGGGTTCAGTTGATTTTGGATTTGATCCAATATTAGAAGGCTTCTTCGATGGTAATCCTGGAGTGTTTCTCTTCCCTGCAAGAGAGACAGAAAAGCACAAATTCAGGTCACTTTCTACACCAGCTGCCATCAAAATGTACCAAATTGAACCTAGAATGTAACATCTTATACTGAAGAGAGACCACAAAATGCTTCCTTGCACAGGATGGCTATACTAAATAGGGATGGTAAAGGCATGCTGAAAATTAGAATGTGTAAAATGCATTGATCAAGATAAGTTATTCTATCTGGCTAACGAAAAAATATCGAGTGAAATTTGGTGAGAAATGTCAACTACCTGAAGATAACACTGCACTTCTGCTTTGTTGAATGTTCCTCATGTTAGGCTGCTTCAAGGAGTCACTCTTGTTGTAAGCATGAGAAGAGAACATTGCCTTCTCGGCATGAGCATTTTGAAGCATTGCTCCCCCTACTGAAAATCTCTTACTATTGGCACCGACGGTAGAAGATCCTGCTGTCTTCCTTCCGCTGTTCGAGGGACTTGGTTTTGATCCAAAGAGTGCTTCTTTCTCAACCATCATTTGCCCATGAAGCTTCTTCTGATCCTAGATTACAGAAATGGAAGAACATCACTAAATGAAAACCATTCAGAATTAATTAAGAATCAGAGTTTAGCAACTTTTGCAATGCATACCCTCTCCCTTTGACGTTCTTGCTCTTTCTCCTGCTGTAAGATGCGATATTGATCAAGCATATAAAGAAGGCCAACCTAAGCAAAAGAAATAGACCAACATTTTACGATTCCAAGGATAAATGTATTTAACATGGAAGTCAAAATCACACGAAAGCATGACCAATAATTTTCAGTTCTTCTTACCCCATCATACAAAAATTCAACTCCTCTTTGTTTTTCCCATGCTCTGGCTTTGGATGTCAATAGTTCTACCATTGCTGCATCAACATTAGATCGGTAAAATTACTCAACTGCTCATCAGAAATAAGTAAAAGACAGACATTAAATTACACCATCAGTACACTAATGACTTTCAGATTGCTAACCTGGAATTTTGTTGACAAGAGCTCTAGCTCTCTCAGCACGCTTCAACATTAGATGTGCACCTTTCCCAGCATTATAACGATTATCATCCTGCAAACCGTGGTTTTTTTTTTTTTTTTTGGTTAGCTTTTGTTAATTGAAGCAAAACAAAACTTAATGCATGAAAAAGAATGAGGTCAAACCCTGTTGTATTCTTCCAGCCAACTCTCTTCTTCACAAGCAGCCAGCCATTTTTCAATCTTCTCGAGCAATTCTTTCCGGCTATAAGCTTCCTCTTTCACCTTAGAAATTTGAACTTCAATTTGCTCTAGAAGATAAGAAGGATCAATTGCCCCTGCAACACAGGAAAAGAAGAAAGAAATGTATAACAGTAGACTTATCAGACAACCACTAACTTTAGGAAGTATTTGTTATCAAGATAAAAATAGGGAGACTAAACTTTGAAAGACAGGCAATTTCCTCTTTATGAACGGAGGATTAACTAAAACATACTTTAAAAAGCTTAACTCTACCAGGAAATAAATTTTGTGTTGCTTTCAGAATATTTGGATATAGTGAATTCCGGTATTAAAGTGGATCTTTACCAGATTCAATTGTCTCAACAGAGTAGTCAATGGATTTATGAGCATCAACTACCATATGAGCCTCCCTGCATAATTGCTCTAGTTGCATTCTCTTCTTCAAGAGAACCTCCTTAATTTTGCTGGATTTCATCTCTTGCAGCCTAGACACTTCTGCTTCAGCCTATAAATAAAATAATAAATAAAAGAAAATAAAAACATGCAATTATGAAGATTTTCATGAAGGATCTGCCTATAGAAACCCTTGGTTTGAAAAGAATCTAAAGACATACATATTTAATGAAATCCAAGGAGAGAGATTTCGGCTCAAATATCTCATTCCCTGAAGCTGCTATTTTTCGAGTAACATTCTGGAACCTTAGTTGCTCCTCCACTGGTGTATCCATCAAACACCAAAGCTCCACCATGGTAGCAGCAAGATTTTGAAGCTGCATTAAGGGAATTCATTTAGCACTGGATCAGAATCGGAAATTTTACACGTTGCAAAGGAAATAAGACAAACCAAGATACCTTTTCCAGCCTCTGTAACTTGAAATCATTGAGTTTTTGTATTGCAATAAATAATTTCTCAATTGTATGTGAGCTGATACTTCTTGAGCCATGTGAATCGTCAAGTGTCGGATGAATCTCACTAACTGTGAGTTTAAAGTCCAAACCAAGAACCAAGCACAGTGAACTAAGTGTACTCAAATGGTCGAAAACCTGCTTCAGACGTTTGCTCTGCACACGAGTAATAAGGGAAAATTCTTAAACAAAATGCAAGCATCTCGACATATTTCCTAAACATTTCATGAACATATGCTGCAATTAACCCTTCTCCAAGACCATTGACAACACTCAAAATCACAATAATCATGTGAGTGAACTTTGTAAACAAGCAGAGAAAATGCAGAAACTAGATATTTAACTAGAAATGGGAATTATCGAACCTTCTCCTTTTCAAGGTCATGCAATTGAATCTTCAAATCCTCTAGCTTTTTCAATGACAGATCACTGTCGTCAATAACTATCAGGGACTTATTTGCTTCATCAGATGCATGAAGCTCCTTTATGATATGGTTGATCTGCTCCACGACTTCTATAAACATACTCTTCCTGTCCTTTTTCTTCCTTTGCATCTCATCCAGTAGGCTACTGACTGTCTGAAGTTGCACCTTTAGACTTCCAGCTGTCTGTATACATAGCAGGGAAGCCGTTTCAATGGCCAGATCATAACAATTGCAATGATGAAGAGAACCACTCTTTGAACAAATTTGTTGAGGTCCTGTAATTATACCTGCTTGATATGCATTGGTGGTTCTCCTAATGCAGCACAAATGAACGCAAGTTCTGATTCCGCATCGGCTACAGCTTTCCGTAACTGAGCTCTGTGTTTGCTTGTTTGATCCACTTTTCTCCTGTACAACTGCAAACACTCCTGTTCGAGCTCCAAAATCATTCTGTCCCTTTCAGCCTCAGGCTCTCCAATTTCATTCCATATTTTCTGCTTGTCCAGAATCACAAAGAAAAAAAGGAAAAAACAAAACAAAATAAAGACAATCTAAATTGAACCTACCCACGGGCAAGCACTCAAAGAGAAATTAAAATCAAACAAATGATTTCAAGTGATGAACAGTACACCTGTAATTCAGTCAAAAGAGAACCACAAGTTGTTTCCATCTGCAAAAGAACGGCAAAAACATCAATTTACAACATTGCAGGAATTTTCCCCATAAAAAGGGATAGAAACTCTCAAATTGGAAACAGAAACACACGAGGCACCGAGCAAATTTCTCAATTCTCATCATACGCTGGTAACTGATGACTATAAGTATGTCTAGCGCGTACTTAACCTACAATGGAACACAATACTGAATCGGGCACGCATCTAAAACACAGGAATTCAGACATTGGAATCAGCTGCTCTATCAATTCCAAATCGAAAATTCGACCACTGAATGAGTATTAAATGAAAAATCCCTACAATTCTGCATCCAAAGAAACGCGTATGCATGCATGTGTTCCTCAGGAGACAAATCTTTCAAAAAAAAAGAAAAAAACAATAATTGATGTCCGCAAACTAACAACAAATTTTTCAGAGTGAAGATATATCAAAATAAAACTTCAATTGCGGTATCTATTGGCATAATTGCCGGTTGTAATGGAATGTGCGTACAGAAACCGCAATTCTACAAAAACCAGAAAGAAAGCAAGAATTTTGTCTCCATAATCACGGAAATTCAAGAAGGAAGAAAACCTGCGCCGGAGAATCGCGATCGAGAAACGGACTCCAAGGTTCTCTGACGTTGTGTTATCCCCGGCGACGATTATCGCAGACTGTTTTGCTCCGATAGTTTTTTTTTTTTTTTTAACTTTTCCCCCAAAAATCTATTCTGCGAGTGATTAAATAAGGGCGGAGGAAATCAGGATGATTCGTATCACTTATAGTAGTAATAAAGAGCAGAGATTCAGTAACGCTTCGTTCATTTTTTTGAATCTGAATTTTGTATTAAAAAAATAAAAGAAAAGTGTGGGATTGTAATGATGAGGCGATTTTTGTTTGCGAATAGTGTGATAGAGCGTAGGAATGATGTTGGGCGGGACGACGGAGGAATATTGAAATTTTTTAATTTTTGCAATTTTCGAAGGAGGGAACAGCGCTTGAATATAGTAACAAAACAAAAAGCAGAAAAGCCCAAAAAGGGAAATGGCAGAGAGCGTCTTTTTGGTTTCTATCCTTGGGCTTGGGATGGAATGTTTTTAGAAGGTGGTGGGCCTGGTGGGCCTGGTGGGCCTTTCTTCCTCGATCTGGAACTGATTCCATTTTTCAAAGGTTGAAACATTGCTATGGACATGGAACAACCTTAAATACTTTGACCAACTGTCTTATCATATAATTCAGCCAGATAAATTAGTCACTGTTACTGACAGTAAACACCCTGCAAATAAGAAAAAGAAAAAAAAATAAAATAATGCGCGGTTGATTGATAAGTTCTCCTCTGATTTTTTTTTTCTGATTTAAAATGTGTTGGTAATGCTATTTTAGACATGGAATGATCTAAAAAACTCTTGGATCTCAAGAACTTGCTCGGTTGATCGGCTCTCTGGTTCTTAGGTGCTTTTTTTTTTTTGGAGCAAATGCTTATGTTTTGTTTGTTGCTTTTACAAAGATGATATGGAAATTGGAAAAGAAGGAAAAGTTGATCGGGTTTTAGTACAGTATCAGCATCATTAGGGCGGTTATAGGCTTGCTAAAACATACTACCATTGCTTTTTATGGAGTAAAATCATTCTTTAAGTGCTTAGGGCTCATTGGAATAATAATAAAGTAGGCTCTCTTAACTACTAGTTTTGGAAAATACTCTCAGATAGAAAACCAAAAACAATTATACAACAATTGTCACATGTGACCAATCCAATTCCATGCATCCCAACTTTTTAGTTTATTATACTCCCTCCATCCCACAAAAATAAAAATATTGAGTTGTAAATTTTGTACTATTTTTAATAAAAATTTGAAAACTCAATGTAGATTATTTTTGTGGGACGAAGGTAGTACTATTCGGGACGGAAGGAGTAACAATTCGGGAAAGAGTAAGCAATTCCGGAAGAATTCAGTACGTTCACAAATGTAATTACGATAAACAAAAATTGCTGTACGCATTAACACGTCCATAAAGTGGTAAAAAAACAAAGGCACCACTATATATTCGAACGTGGACGACTGGCATTTTCCCATTAGCGAACAATCTTTGGAAGTGAGAAAAGAACCTGGGGCTGTGACTCAAAAAGCAAATAAGTACTAAAAAGAGGTGTTTATAAAACGTGGAGCAACCAAGGTGCTTTGGCGGATATCCTTTGGAAGATGCGATCCCTTTGAAGATCGTAGCTGAAGCAGGCATATTCTGCACTTAAGCTTCTCCATTATATTTGCATTCAGCGCATATATAAACGACCCTAATATAGGGTTCTTTTATACTAGCAACCTTTTACCAGTTGCTACTTCAAGCTTCGACAGTGCAATGGGAGACGGAGAAAATGGAAAGCCTTTCAATGATTGCTAATTAGCTTTCTTCCCCCCTCCCGAACAGGGCAACTTCAATCCTTTGGCATTTTCATCTCATGGTGCTTGCACATCATCGTGCAACTTTTGTCGGCTCTGAAGAGCCTGCCGGAGCAGGATGGCGCCAAGTTCAATTACATCTTTTTCACTGATTATGAATAATTCAATAGTATTATGTATTGTGATTGTGTGTGATATTGAGAAATTATGCAAGAGATGCATGTAAGTTGACACCGGTCCACATCTATGTGTAATCCTGGAAGGCTGCTGTATCATTTGTTAGTTGAAAATCATAATATTTGATTAATTTACTACCTCATTATTATATGTCATCTTCAGAATCTATTCTGCATCTCTCAATTGATAAAAGCATTCAACCACTCACAATGGTTGTTCGTGCAATACGAAATGCGAAACCACAGATCCTCACCCCAGAATATGAATCAACATCCTGCATGTTGTGGGATACATGCCTAAAAGCCGAGTTCTTCAACCAATGACGATTGTACATTGAATACCACCTGCAAAAGAGGAACACCGCAGCTTCAATCTTTAACTGAAAACCAACTTGCCAGCTTTTACTGGTAAGCCTCAAATGCGATTGCAGAAAAAAACATCACATGACACTCTTATACATCCGTTTCTTAACAAACTTAACAACCACACACCACTGTAATGAGCACACAAATGGTTTCACAACTTTAACATTGGCATTTGTGTTCAGCAATTTTTTCCATCCTCACTAACTCCACCATCACATGGTGCAAGTACTAGAACAAGAAAACAGACTACTGATTTCTGGAAAAAGAAATAAAAGAAAAAAAGAAAAACCAGAACAGGGAAACAGACGGGAAAAGCATCTCAATAGTAATACAATTGAAAAAGCATCGAATGATTGAGGTTTAAAATCATTATCATTACAACTTATGTACAAATATATTCAAGACAGCCACCACAATTTACCTCCAACGTACTTGGATCACAGAATAGCAACATCGTTACAATGGTGCATCAGCAAAAATCTCAGAGAAGTTTTGAAGCAGTAAACATGAATGCACAACGACAGTATTTTAAGAAGAGAGCAGATGCTTACCAGAAATTGGAGGTTCACCCTCAAAATCAAATGAAAAAGACACCAATGACCCATCAGTGTTCTTGCAGGATCTTACTTAACCAAGGGCGGTTGTCTCCTCCACTTATCCATAGGTTTTAGGCCAATCTACAGTCTATACTAGCCTGCTACATACAACATCCTCATGAAGCAAATCAGGCATCATATTGTTTACTCTAATGGTAGCATGAAAACAGGAGAACTATTTGTGACTTCTTCCATAATGACGAGCTACTCTCATGCCTAGAGGCGTACCAAAAGATAATCCAGTGTGAAGCCAAATTAAAGAAATTTTACATTTTGTATTACTCCAACTTCATTTTGGAGAAATTGCATACCCATTCAATACTTTTCTCCAGCAGATGATTAGTAAGTTAGCTGCAATATAAGATGTTATTAAACATCTGCGAGAAAGAATTTCCACTGCGTATACATTGTTTAATATAATAAAAACAACCAAACGAGAGCCTGGGTTAGTGTGGCTCATAGAGTCAGCCTTGTTACAACTAAAGTAGAAGAAGGTTCTATAAAACATACCCGATTGAATTGATACCAATCTTTTTCTTTTATAGTTACTCATATAGTGACTACAAATATGTGAACACTCACAAGTGATGATCTCATGACTGCTTAATTCATTAGTTTCCAATAATGATGCAGCTAACAGACGAGGAACGTTACTAAATATAAGAAACTGGACCCTTTTTCTTTTAAAAGCGATTGAATCACCTGAGCAAGTAAAAGTATATTCTACATGAGCAACAAATGTAATTACTAGTACAAGGCTAAAAATTGAAGCCTTGGCTAGGTAGCCAAACCAGTCATAGCCCATTATCCAATCATTAAGGTTAACAAGCATTAGGTTGTGTCTGCTCTTTGAGATGAGAAAACACAAAATGTGAGTAGTCCACAGATCAAGAGCCTACCTCTGCTTAACTATTTCTAGACATTACAATTGTCAAGTATCTTGCTTCTTGACTAACCACCTAAACTACAAAATTTAAGTTGTCCATGAATCTTTAAGGAAAGAGCAGCAAAGGTAACTACTAAGACTGAGACAACCTCCACAGTCTCTAGCACAGTAGGTAAACTCTTATGAAGCCAAAAAAAAAAAAAAAAAAGCACAAAACCTGAATATAAACGCTTCCCATTATCATTATGATCCATTTGAGGTCAACTCATACAACTTTACTTATTCGATGGGAGTATTGGGAAGTAGTAGCCTTATGCTTTATGCCAATGTGGGAGCGAATTCAAAAGGCTACAGAGCCAGGTAAAAGGTAAACTAGTCTAGAACCTTTCATGCTAGAGAAGTAAATGATATCATGTATGCCAACAGTTCCATAATAAAAGATAAAAGGCAGAAACCACAAAAAAATGTATAAAAGATGCTATAATAGGCAACAGGATAAAAACTACATTCGTGTTTCAGGCTCCAGTAAAAAAACTTGAGGCCCAAGTTAAGAACAGTCATTAATGGTATGTGCAAAGAAGCCTAAAGGCTATACTTTACAGGATTACACAAAGCACAAACCTAAGGCTGCGGAAAGGCTTTTAATCTTCTGTCTACACAACTGTACAACCCACTTCCAAGGGTGATAGTGTAACAACCGATCACTCGGTACTAAGTTAAAGTGAGTCTCACCAGTCGTAATGAATTTTAAACAATACCCCCATGCCTGAATTCACCATCGCCACAATCTGCACTGGAGCCCAAGCCACAGGGAGGATCAAACCATTTAGGATTTTCAGGATAGAAGTTGTCTACCTGTATACCCCCAAGACCTGCATCCAGAGTCTCACCATGCCTTACGCGTTTAGTCATCTTGGAATCCCCACAGTCAAGCATACTCTTTTCATCAAACTCCCCTGGGCTCAACCACTTCTCTGCCTTACAAGAATCGCTAAGCAGATCCTTCTCAATACGAGAACCAGTCCTAATCTGCTCCCAAGGAACATCACCAAGCGTTCTCCCAAAGCTGTCATCATCATCATCAAGTAGCTCAACATTTTTGCCATCCCCATATAGCCTGGAGTGTTGATGTTCAGCCCATTCACCTAAATCATTCTCCCCCACCAACACTCCCACCGAATCGTGCTTATCTTGGAGCAATTCCATTGTTTTTGAGCCATATTCCCCAACGTTTCTCAACTTATGCACGATATCATACAAATCCCGTGATACAGAAGCCAACGCCTCAGGTGGGATTTTCCCTATTTTCCCCTCAAGAAATCCAAGCTCGTTCCTCAATTCACACATTTGATGTAAAACAGAGTGCTGAAGATTTTCGTTGTTGCCTAAGAACCCAAATCTTTCAATCTCTGCTTCATCACTCATTCCGTGAAATGCATCCTGCTCCAACATAATTCCTCCTTTGTGCCCAACAACCCGGTGCATTATCCTCGCATTCCCATCAAGGGGTCCTGGTTGATGTCCAGTATGCTTCGCATACAACTTAAATACAGCTGTCCCCTCTTCCTCATAAATGAATGTCTTTTCCTTTTCACTGTAATTAGAAATTGGGACAATGGCTCTTATGCGAAACCCACATCCGCATCGCTTAGATGCATAGGGCTCTCGCTTCAAACTTCTGGATTTTTTCGAGGATGCTGGCTCACCTGCCCTATGACAAGCATAATCTTTCACTTCTGCCATAAAAGGCTTATACCTAATATACTTCTGCCTTATGCACAACACAACTTTATGTTTAGTGGCAAGCTGTTGCAGCCTAGTTGGGACATCCTTGGCTGGAACCTCAAAGGATTCAGTGTATTCAAATCTACGCCTTTTGTTACGAGGTGCGCAACCTGAAGACTCATCCGAACAAATGGGGCAGGCCAGCACACAGCTCCTAATAAAACTTTCAGGAATTCCATAAAATTTAGCGCCAACAGTCCAAGTTTGCTTTATTCCCTCTACTGTTTCCTTTACCCCTAGGTGTCTAAAATCATCATCACAATGACAGTTCATCACTATATCATGCCACTGATCTACATACGGGATGAACTGATTATAGTTAGTCTTGAAGCAGAGAAATTCATTACCGTTCATAGGGTCCACATGAATACTGAGCTTGTCTTGGATGCGCTTCCATGCAGTGAGGTAAGCCGTGTCCTCATTTCGGTCCCTCCAGACAGCCCTCCAGCTCGAGAGCACAGAATCCGGCGTGGCCGCACGGACCTCCTCCGCGGTGGCGAGCCGGCAATCACGGAGGCACTGCAGCATCAAACAATGGGATTCCTTGTTGAAAGTATAAAAAGAGGAAGACATATGGGCCTCGGGGCTAATGTACATGGGGGGAAGACGTTTCGCCTTTCCTCGCCGGCCGACGTTGCTGCTATTAGGGTTATTGGAGTTAGGGTTTGCAGAAACCACCGGGTCTGCCGGGGGAGGGTCAGAGGGCAATAGGGTTTGCTGATTGGGGGGAATTTCCGCATCGGAAGAGGTGTGGCTGGCGTCATCCTCATCGTCGTCGCGGAAAATTGACAAGTCGGTGAAGAATCGCTCATCGTCCGGGTTGTCGGCGTCGAACATCAGGTCCTGCTCCCGGGCCTCCTCCCGGTCTATCCGTGATGAGCCCAGGTGAGAACCGTGGGTACGATGAAACGGGTCCCCTTTAACTTGCCCCGGATTCATAATGATGGGAAAAAAAAAAATTGCGGCCGCGGAAGCTACCGGCGGCAAGAATATTCTGGTCAGTGCGTGACTGTGTCTGCTCTTAGCTCAGATTTTCAAGTCAATTGAAAGGTGAAATAGTAGTGAATTTCTTCCCTTTCTGAAGCTTCCGTCAGCGAATTCTGACATGGATGAAGAAGGAGAAGGGGAAAGTGCAGAAATTCTGTAAACTTCCAAATCGGAACGAAAGGGGGCAGATGTTTTTTTGTGGAGTTTATTTTAAGAATGTCATACTGACATTTGTTTACTCATATTTTTTGTTGGATAATTTTCACGGCAATATGTCGGAAATTGATGCTGATAGAGAAAAATTCTTTTAAAAACGATTTCTTTTCTCAAAAGAAAGTAAAAGTAATAATAATTGAAATTAAAAACAGAATAATATTATTCATATATTCTCTTCTGTCTTAATTACAAAATTATTTAATTTAAATTTGTGTGTGATAGTGATAAGGACAAGATTGAGTAGTAGTATTTCAAATTTTAGCACAAAATACTCCTTTGAATACAAATTTGTTTATCTTTATTCTGAACTTTATACTACTACTTTTACCCCCAAATTTTCTTTTATTACAAAATACTCCTAATATCTGTAGTTTGAAAAATTAATGGGGATTTTTTTTTTTTTATGTTTTGACGAAAACCTGACTGACAAGAAAGAAACACAAAGGAAGATGACCAGAAGAAGCCTTTTGACTTGTGTCCTACTGAACAGTGACCAGTCCTCAGACAGTCAGACTAATAACTTCTTTCCTTGAATATTCATTCAATTTTGTCTTTCCAAATGGAAATTTATTTTGAATATTCAGTTGCGAATTATGCACATTCATCGTCAGAAAAGAATTTTTTTTTTTTAATTTCTTTATGACAAGATGCATATTATCAACAACTAGTCTTTTTATCGCATTGAAAATGTTTCAATGATAGTACCACCAAATAATAATAGACTTATAATGTACGTGATTAATGGAAATTCGAATAAAAATACCAATCATTTTATTATTTTCCATCTTTTCGGTTATTCTTTATGTTTGGATTTTTTTTCTTTAATGTGTATTTTTCTGTATTTTTTATATTGAAAATGTCAAAATGTATATTGAAAATGTAAAAAAGGTATGTTGGGATGGGGAGAATTATTAATAAATAGATATGAAAAAACCATTAAAAAAAAATGAACCAAAAAGAGAATGGCTGAAGACATTGAGTATTGAAGATCCACTAACGAGAAAGTAAAATAAATTTTTTTAAAAAAAAAAATATGGCAAATGACTGGAAACTTATTCAAAATTTATTGCATCTCATCATGAACTTTTTTTTATTAAAAAAAAAAAGAAAAAGAAAAAACATAATAAATCGTGTGTTGTTTTCAATCCAGCAACGAACTTCAGAAAATAGAATCATATTTACTGACTAAGATGACAGGAAATTAAATTGTATTTTTCCCAGAAAGAAGAAGATTGAGAAGAAAAAAAGAAAATAAAAGAAAAACTAATCGTGCATTTTGTAACGTTCGGTTTTTCTGTGTAACTAATTATAGTATCAATTTAATTTAGAAAGTCAATCACTCGACACCGAATGAATCTCAATTTGATATGAGTAATGATTATGGTTAATTGATCACGCTCCACCTAGCTAGTACTAATTATATTCTACCCAGTTGGTCACCCATTTGATTGAAATGGTACCAAAAAATTATATCCCAAGTGTTTTTGATGAGATTCTCGCCAGTACACGTGATGAAAATACTATGTATGAGGATGATAAATTCATAAGTAACTTTTTGAAATTACCCACACACACATGCAAAAAAAAAGTTACCTCAACAAAATTCACCAACCCAAATTTGATATTTTCCCGATTTCCATCGTCCACATAGCGTTAGAAAATGCGAAATTCAGCTTCATTTTGCTTCCCTGCGTTTAGGAGTGTTAATTCGGGCAGTTTGGGCAGGTTTCGGTTTATTCCGTTTGGATATATCGGTTTTGCAGTTTTTAAAAATCCGCGCGCAAACCGAACTGAAAATATACATAGCCGCACCGAACCGGTCAGATAAGACTTCGGGTTAATCGGTTCGGTTTGCGATTTACCTGAACTATCTTGATCCAACTTTTGTTTTCTTGGTTCTTGGCCCAACTTTGAATTTTTTGGTCCAACTTTTTCTTTCCTTTCATCAACTCAAATTAAAAGAGTTCAACAGAGGAGAGTTTCTTCTCCTACTCTTACAGAGGAATAATAAGTTCACATCAAAAGAGTTCAACCGAGGCTAGATTAAAAACTCCAAACCTAAATATTTCACAAATCACAACTTCAAACATAAATTAACACTAGCCAATAGAAGAACCACATAAATTAATAGCAGCGAAAAGAAGAGGTTCTTCTGCTACAAAAGTAAACTTGGACAGAATCATATTTCAGCAGGTATTTCAACACACCAGCCAGGCAGAAGGTGAATAATATGAGAAAACAACCTCTGAAACTTTGATGTGGGTTCGAAACATGTGGGTTTGAAACTTTGAATCTGAGAAAACAATAACTAACTGGAGAAAAATGATAATCGATGGTGAAATTGAAGGATTGAAGTGATTTTTGGATTGGATCTGTGTACTGTGGTGGAAGAAGGAGAAAAGAAAGGCTGCCGCTGCTGCAAGAAAAAAAGAAGAGAGAAGAGCGGCCAAAAAAAAAAATGAAACTAGGACAGTGAAACCCTAGACTTATATATATACTAGTTGGAGGTGCACCGCACGAGGTGCGGTGGTGGGTGTAAGGAGACCCGGATTATTAATATTTGATAACAAATTAATAGATAGCAAGAAGTAGGTGAATTTTGTTTTATTAGATGATATACAATTTGATGGAGTAATTGTACAGAGGGTATTGACATAGAAAGAAAAAAACCGCTATGAACATAATACATGATATAAGATTACATGAGATGAGCAGAACTGTTTAATTCGGCTTCGATGGTTGTAGTTCGTTGCAGTAAAAGTAAAAGTCTCCATTCTCCGTTGAGTGCTGTTTTTAAGATGTATTTCCATATTGGATGAGATAGAAATCGTTTTAATAATTCATCGACTTCTCTTTCGAACCAGGAGTTGTATGTGCACTGTCCACAATGGATGCAAGTACATGTTTCAGGGGTCGCCATTTTGTGAGTTCAGAATTTTAGCTGCAAGTTGTATTGTAAATAGGAACCATGAATTAGAAAATATAGAAAAATAAAAGAAAGAGAAAAAAATAACAGTAAAATGAGAATTTAGGGACAATACTCGAGCCGTAGGAAAGAACAAATAGCTGATCCTTTAGAATCTATAGCAAGTAATCCTGACCTTTTGCCAAATGCACCAAACTACCAATTTTGTGGTGCAAGGCGTTTGTATGCTGAACCACCGGGTTTCTGTTGTTCTTCTGGGGAAATAAAATTGCAAGAAACAATTTTGCCACCAGCTTTAGTACAACTATATACTGGAAATTCAGAAGAATGCAAACATTTTCAAACTTGTGTTCGCAGTTATAATAATATGTTTGCATTTACATCATTGGGTGTTCACTATAATAAATTTTTAGCCCAGAGAAATGAAGGGGTTTACACATTCTGTGTTCAGGGTCAGTTGTACCATTTTATGGACACTTTATGTCATCTGACAATGAAAAACCAAAAAACCTGCAACTTTACTTTTATGACACAAAACACGAACTTGAAAACCGGTTAGCCATAAGTTCTAAAAAATTTAAAGAAAGTGTTGTCCAAGTTTTGATGCATGTTTTGAAAAACAATCCTTATGCTCACTTCTTTCGAAGTCTCAATAATGTAAAAAACTTATCAGAGTATAAGATTGCTCTACATGCTAATCCCACATTTGATAATAATGTTTTCAATAAGCCCTCTGTATCCCAAGTTGCCGGTATATACGGTAATTATTCCTTACTTCCACACATTGTTCGACTGAATTATATTTTCTTTTTCTCATCATTAATATTTCAGAAATTAAATTGTAATTTCACATAGATATGCACAAGAGGCAAAAAGAATTGGCAAAATAGAATGAGCTAAAACTTAAAAACTGCAAGAGATGAAGTAACTGATAAATAAAAGACGATCAGACAATATAAAAAAAATACTTGCTTCCAGATGCGTCTCCTGAAGTGGACATTTCTAACTAATTTCTTCGGTAATGAACGCACTTTGCAAACTTGAATGCCTTTTGCAAACTGTTGAAACAAGTATGAAATTAATTTATATTAAATAAGATGCATTAACACAATTCAAAGAATGCAGGAAATAGGGAACTGGCTGTCAAAACATTTCAGTGAGAAGCTTCTACACTTTTATCCTATTGTCATCACAGAGACAATGATCCAAAAAAAAAAATGCAAAGCAATAAAAAGAGAAGGCAACATTCGGAGGCAAAATGCAAAAGAATAACTGTTGCTGTTGAATGGCGACAGAGTAAAACGAAACCCAAACAAAGACAATAAGAATGAAAGCGTGGGTATTGATTTTGAAACAAAGCCGGCACGATTCCTTTGGTGCATTAATTCTGCTTGTGATTACTTCAAAATAATGTTTGCTATGATACATGGGATTTGAAGTGTAAGATCACCTCTCTGAAATGGTCATTTTGGCTATTTACTTTGCAATTCAACATGTGGGTTTACTAACAACATTAGCTTCTTCCAGATGACTTACCAAAGAGTCATTTTACTCAAATTTGACTCTGTTTGGATCAATGGTTTTGCTTTCATTATGAGCAAAATTTAGGTGCACTACATATACTAAAACTGGCTACAAAAAAGGGACCAGTTTAATCGATGAGCTCTTTGCTTGAGTAATCAACCTAGGATTCGATTTGAAGAAGGACCACTCTAACAGATGAGCTATTTGGTAGGGTAATCAACTCAGGAATCAATTTGAAGAAGACGAGCATTTAAAGCTTCAAGAAAAGGGGCAAAATAGAAACTTGTGACTACCAATTTAGAGTTCAAATTCAAGGAGGGATAATGCAAAAAGCCTGGATTTCCTTGAGGTAACTAATTCTTATTTCCTGATAGAATTTTCTCTCAGGAATATAGATTAAAATATATAAACTGGGATTAGGTAGACATATTTTTCTTCTGTTGCTACATGATTTTAATTCATCCAAGATGATGGTCTTTCTTAGATGGATGTGAGAGCTTAATCTTGCAAACTTCCTTGAAAAAAATGGTTTTGCTTTGGAAACAAAACTAAACTCATTGATTAGACTATAGCTCTTTTCTCTATGACCAGTAAAGAAAACTAAACAAAAATTTGCAGAGAATAGGATTCTCTTTTGAACAAGAAATTAAAACTAAATTGATACACTTATTTAGACCATGAAATTGGCTACTTTATGGAGGAAAAAAACTGCAGTAATCCATTAACTCTACATTCTTTTACATGTCTACTCAAACTAAATTGAGTATGTGAAATCTTTATTTTAACAATTGCTCAATCATTTTCAAACTGACTAATTTTTGTAACGAAGGAAGAGTGCACAACCGTATTGCCTATATGCACCAAAAAGAACAAAACAGAGAGATTTTAATTCTTCCGTGAACACTAAAATCAAAATCACTAGCAGCTCGTTTCAAAGAAAATAATGACAAGCAGCAGGAATTTTTTCCGCTACATATAGGCAAAGCCGATGCAAAAATTTTCTCTAATACCAATAATCAAACACTTAACATGCCTTAAAAGCAAACACTTTGAACACACAAAATGAATTGAACTCAAACCTCTAATTACTATCTTATAGAACTAATTATTGAGCTCATAGATAGGTCGTTCGTTGAATGAGTTCTTTGGGAACAAGATTCGAACACTTAATGTGCAACCTAAAAAACAGATTTCAAGTTCAATTCCAATTGCAAAACCCCCGCACCACTAAGAAATCCATCCTACTCTTCTATTTAAAGTAATCAATGATTTTATCATCCACTCACTAATTTAACAAAATAAAATCTAGTATGAATGAGCTAAAGAGATGGTTTGAACCGAATCAAATAAATTTGAATCAAAGAATAACCAATAAGAATCTAAAAATTGCTAACCATACTGTACTTTTTGTTACTTTTTTAATACAACTCTTTCTTGTCCCTGCTAATTCCGTACGCCTCCGTTGCCACAAAAGATCTAAACAGGCCTTTGGCGAAATCGGAGAAGACAAAGTCGACACGGAGAAGATAAAGCCGAAACCGAAAGAATCAGTGAAAGTAGTCGATCAATTTGCGGACTTCAATAGATAACTGGAGAGAGTGACCGGCCTCCAAACAAGACCGGTAATCCAAAAGTTCTTTGTTCAACTTTCGACTTACTCCCCGTAGCAAAAAGACAACACAAAAAGAGAGAAAGAAAGGGAACTCTTGCCGTTGATTCACAGTTCATAATCCATTCTTCCCAAATGGCAAATTTTGCAGCAAAAATAAACCCACATACTATTTTCAAAATAGACCTGAAGCTCTAAAAGATCGATAACATGAGCAAAAGCAGAAAGAGGTGGAGGAAAGAATTGGAAATATGAAAATTAATTTTAAAAACAGAAGAATCCTTTGGATTTGAACAAAGAATGCCCACGTGGAAGAAAAATGGACTGTATACAAAACCGGCAACCGAACGAGGCCGCGAGGTAAAAGGTGCGAACTACCCAAATGGAAGAAGAAGGGGTCCAATCACTTATCGCCACGTCACCAAAAGAGAGAGATAACTTGGAAGAAATCGTGACAAGATTTGCCATTCCCCCTTTATATTATATAGATACTCCCTCTGTCCCAAAATTATGGTCCACTTTGGATTTTTCTTTGTAATTCAATTTGTACTAAAACTGAAACTCCAAACTGGACAATAATTATGGGATGAAGGGAGTATATAATATTTATAATTTTTTTATTTGTAATAATCATTTTGGGTTTTGGGCGGGCCCCATTTTTTTTAATCACCCGTCCCCGAACCGAATTTAGTCTCTCTTTTTTCGGGTTTATCCGAAACCCGCACCGAAAACAATTTATCCGAACCGAATGGGCCGAATTTCATTCGGTTCGGGCGGATTTTCGAGTTGACCTGAATAACTAACACCCCTACCTGTGTTCTTTTTGTTTAATTAGCGATTTCGGTTTCGCGTTTAATATTTGTTGTTCAAGCTAGCTACCAAGGGAGATTCCAGCAACGGGAGAATCTACCCAAGTGCCGTAAATAATCATGAAAATTTGAAAATGATGAGTTCGTAAAAATTGCTAAAAGCAAGGTTTCTTAACTTCTTTCTAAAGGATCCGGCCCCAACTTTCAGGAAGCGCTCCGAAGGTGCCTGGAAGTGGAGGAGGAATGATCTTTGCCGTCAGCCCAACCCTAGCGCTCCAGGAGTAGCTCCGAAATTGGCTCGCTAGTCCTTCCGGCCCATTTCTGATCTCGATAATTTTTATTTTATTTATAATTAAATGTGACAATTATTTTAAAACAAAGGGTCAAAGAGTTACATTTTTTTATCTCGGAAGTTTGCAATGTAATTAACTCCTCTAGCTAGGCTCTAAGCCTAACACACTAATAATTATGTTAGTTTGGATATCGTACATGTTGCCTATATCTAAAAAATGTCACCCATGATAATTAGTCTAATGATATTTTTCAATAACAAATTCATTTAAAAAGAACTTGTTTGAGTGATTCTATTCCTCGAGGAACGCCAAGTAGGTTCTTCCTAAACAAGAATAATTTAACGTGTAATCTCAGGTTCAGTTGTAAACTGTCCTAGTTAATTTTCAGTTTTGACGAGGTATGTATTTTGTTTTTGGTTACGACTTCCGACCAATCTAACAAGGAACTAAATGAAATTCAGATCCAAATATTTTAAATTATAAAAAAAAAAATTGAAGAATAATACTCCTGACGTTCTAGAAACTGGAATTCACGTAGTTCGTAGTATTTTTTTTATATGTAATATTGATTTTCTTTCTTTTCCTTCAAATTGTTATAGCTTAGCTCAACTTAGTTAGGTCTAGATTTGAGCTAAGGGTTGAGTCTATATTTCATCTAGTGTGACTAGGTTTGACATTTCATGGTTATTGTAGCTCAACTCTTTGTAGTGGTGTATTACTCACCATTTTTTTAATATATTATTATCATTGCTTGTGAAAAAAAAAAATAAAGATCTGAAGGAAGTCGTACGAAAAAATTTAAAAGCAAAATTTACATAATTTATTTTTATAAGCATTGGCTTGAAATAATGGGACACTATGTCATACAAAGAATTCCCCAGATCAAAATCAAAATCAAACTATTTATTTACAATTTTATCCCCGTGTGCCTTTTACCCTGTCGAAGATTGTTACTCCTTCCGTCCCATAATTATTGTCCACTTTGTCCAAAAAATTTTGTCCCAAAATTATTGTCCAATTTGACTTTTTATGGATCAAGTTACACATTTGTCTTTAATAAAAAACATTATCCATAAAATCTTAGTAGTTAAACAATTACTTATGTAAGGGTATATCCGGTTGTTTAAGGTAAAATATAGTTAAGTTTGACCAAAAATAAAATTTTTTATTTTAGTAAAACTGGACAATAATTATGGGACGGAGGGAGTATTATTATAACCTTGATCACTACATTATGCTTTTGAGATTTTCTTTTTCTACTTTTTTGTCATAACGAAATCATGCATAAGTAACACGGGCCTCCATGAAGAGGACCAATTTCTATAAATTCCCTGATGTAAATAAGCTTCTTGCTGCTTAATTATTTATTTTACATGGGAAAGTATACTTGGTTAATTCCATGTCAGTGCACATAGATATTGACGGGAAAAAAAAAATTTATAGTGTCCTGTGACTACCATTTCACGGATATTAACATTTACGTTATGGTAGCACAAGATGCCCAAATTTCACTCTAACAATTTCAAACATAACTCACATTTTATCAACACATTTTAGTTCAACAAAATAATCTAATTTTTAGAAAGTTTTGTCTCCTGAAAACAACCTACTTGGTTTGAACTCGGATTAGTAGAAACAATAATTTCAGACATCGTGTGCTTAATATTTCAGAAATAAAAAATTAATTATTTGGAATGAGCATGCATCAATTATTAATTAAATTTTTATTAGGCGAGTTTTACCTTTCAAAATAAACTTACTTTATTCATATTTGGATGAGTTGGAATAATAATTTCAACAACGAGTGTATAATATACAAAATATAATAATAATAATAATAATAATAATAATAATAATAATAATCTTATTGTTCGTGTGCATATTAGTAACACAAGGCTAATACTCAAATCAAAATCAACATCATATACTGAAAAATAAACGTAAGTATTACCTCCTCTGTTTCAAAAATAAAATAAAATACATTCCATTAAATTTCGAATTTTATACAATTTAATATAAATATCAAAACTCAATATTTTATTGATTTCGGGGCTGGAATCATTGTCGTCTTGCTTCACTTGATTACATGACTTGTGTTGTTCGAGCGTATTTAACTTACAAAGCTAGTTAACGAGGAAAATTATTTAAGGATTGTTAATGTGCACATTTAATTTGGAAGTACATATTTGATTCATTATTACCAATAATTAGTTACTTACCGATACAATATTCAGCTCCCCTTGTCGTCAACACATAAGGCACTAGAAAACGATGAAAGTATGTACTAAGTCACATTATTAATCAGTAATGAGAAATGTCTTGGCTTCGAGATAAATTTGAAGAGCTTAATCCAGAAATAATCTTTTTTTTTAGTACTCAACAATAATGGTATTAAAAAAATAAATAGAAGGGAGGAAATTTGTTAATTTCCAGAGACCAAAAATTAACGTTTACTTTTTGTCCATTTCCAAAATTTGGGTTTCACCGGAAATTCCAATTGAGATAGCAAAGCTGCGAACATTTGTCCATAATAAGGCGTGATTTACAATTCAGTTTACTTCACCATTTAGGCACAAGCATAAACACAAATTACACACAGATAAACTCCAAAATTGATTGATTGCCTTACAAATGACTTCTGTTATGTCTTCTTTTATATATACATGTGTATGTGTATATAAATTTAACGTTGTACAGAGAAGATCCAACTTGTTGATTTAACCATGGATTGCAGTGCATCAATGGAAACAAAGGATTTTATCGACATTAATAAAAGCCCGTCAAGTTCAAGCTCCGCCGGCAGCAAGAATTCATCCATGGCGGAAAATATAAGGCTGGACGACGACGATGTTAATAATCATCCTCAACCCACCACCTTGTCCATGGATTTGTTTCAAAATAAAACTTCCTCACGGAAAAAGAAAGTTGTAAGATGGTTGATGGATTATTGTAGGGAAGATTCCGGCGGCGCGTGTGATACCAATTTCCGTGGTGGATCATCCAGGAGAGGAGTTGTGGACATTGGATTGGGCCGCCGCGTTGGTGGCGTTTCTCGTCCACCTTCCTTATTAGAGCGTTCTCTGCTTCCTGGCCTCAAGTACGATACTATACTAATAGCAAAAGAATGCATTAAAATTTTTATTTATACTTTCTCGGTTCCCAAAAAAAAAAAAAAAATTAGTGAAAAAGAAAAGAGTGTTTTTGTTTGATGATTTTGGGTTGACAAATTTTTAATGTAGGACGGATGCGAGACCTTCATCTCCGACGTTTGGAGAGTGTCCTGAAACAGCACAAATGACGATCTTTTATGCCGGAACCATCAATGTGTACGACAATATTCCGGCTGACAAGGTAATAATTATCACTGTTATTGAATCAAACCTAATCAATGTAGGGTATTATGTGACAGTAAATTTTCTTCAATCGGTCTACAAAACATCAATCATGCTGCTATTGTGGTAGTATTCATGTAGTGTAATCATTGGACAATGATATTGAACTAATCATGGCTTAAAGTATATACGTACAATTTTCATTTCTGATCATATACTACTAGTATTTGCTTCCGTATTTTCTGAATTTAATTATTAATAAGTACATACTTCTGGGGATCAACACTCAACAGGCTTATGCAGTAATGGTTTTAGCCGGCCGGTGTTGTGTAAAACCAACAAATCCGAATGAAGAAGATGATGATCCAACCAAACTAGATTTGGCCGTTAAATCACCCCCGAAGTCCAACTCACTATCACTTGGAAACGCCAAAGAAGGTATTGTAGCTTTTTTTATTGAAGAATTGAAAGATTTAATATGAGAAATTTACATTAAAACATTGTTATTTGATATAGTAATATGCAATTATTATTTATTATGTATTTGTTTTTTCAGATCTAGATCTTCCCCTTGCTAGGCAACAATCTCTCAGGCGTTTTCTGGAAAAACGTCGTGATAGGTTGGAATTTTCTGTTGATTAAAGTTACGAATCTAAAAATGATCAACAAAATTCATGGTATTGACTGGTTGAGTATGTAATTGCAGGGTGTCAAACAAATCTCCTTACGCCAAAATCGGATGAAAAAATGAGCAATATTTGTGTTCATTAATTTCCACGTCTGGAAGTATGCAAATTTCTGACCGAATTGTAGTATGATGGAATATCGAAGCGGGCGACAAATTTCTTCAAGAACTTTATTATGATATATAGTATTCCACATCAATTACTTAACAGGCCCACCATGTGGATGATTAGATCTGTACCATATTGCCGTTTGGATTTTGTCAATTAATTAATTACTACTACTTCATAGTATTTCGTTTTTGAAACCCTAGTGTCAATCGCATAAAGTCATTTCTACGTACCATGGACTACTTCAGCACAATGTTTTCAAAATTAGGATTTCACTCGAGATCGTTTTGGCGTCTCAGGATCGGATCGGATTCTGGATCGGTGGGATTGGATCGGCAAGATCGAAACCACTTAAAATATTATAATAATTCTGAAATTGCTGAGTTTTAATTTATTAGTTTAATTCTTGATTGATTTTATAGAGGAAAAGTATATTAGCTCCTGCATAAGTATCACCAACTCAAAATTTTAACTTTTATATATTTTCTAATCATTTTCCCTTCTTTTTAATACGAAATCAACAATTTATACAAGTATCGACAAAATCAATGAGATCGCAAGATCGTAAGATTCTACGATTTGGATTGGAATTTTGAAGGATTCTATAAGATCCCACTACAAAGAAGGATTTCATAAGATTCATGATCGATTTCCTAATTCTAAATCGTAGGATCGTAGGATTCTAAGATATGGATCGGGATTTTGAAAACTATGATTCAGCACCCATCACTTCACCCTAGATATAATTTCAACTAGCCGGTTCTAATAAGACGTCCAGAAACTCCCTCGAGCAAAACACAAGGAGCTGATCATCTAGGAGACATATAATTAGACGAAGGTTATTGACAAAAAAAATTACTAGTACAAGAAAAAATGACTTGTTCAGAATATTATGAAGAAAAAAAAAAAAAGAAAAGAAGAAGAAGAAGCATATTTGTGTTTTTTTTTTTTTTTTTTGCTTGGTGTTTTACTTTGTTGTATTTGAGATGATACTTGGGCTATTATTTTCATTATAAGACTTTCATCGGGACAATTAGCTAATTTTCATTATAAGACGATCATCAAGATAATTTGCTAATGATTGTTTTAATTACTAAGTGTATGGTTAGATATACATTGTATGTACGTAATAACGTCAAAGATACTGTTAGGATTACCCCATTATAAATCTTGAGACGAGTATCTATTTCTTCTTAAACGTAAAGTATTTGAGAAAATCATTTGTCAGGTCGCCAAATGATATTATATCACCAATTTAATTGGATCAAGTGGCAAGAAATCTAGTTAATCATTATGTAAATAAAATTTACTTATTTTGATGTTTGGCTTTTAGCATTAATGAAAAAGTAAATGTAAATAATTTAACGAAGTAAAAAAACATTTAATTGGCGTGAGATGAGTTTTAGATTAATAAGGATGAAATTTTTTTAAAAAAATCCCCCCCGCGACATCCTGTCCATGATTTTATACTCGGGGCATTCTTGTCCATGATTTCTCAAGTTTCATCTCAAAAGTCGCATTTTCCCTTTCTTGTATGGAAATGACAAATAATGCAAGTTCGTGATTGATATTGCAACAGAAACCATATATATCCTGGCAAAAATAATCGGGCAATTCATGTTGAGAATGCGATCTATCAACGAGGATATAAAGTCCAATATCCTATTTTTTTAAAAAAGTATAGTAGTAGTAGTAGTAGTATATTTGAGTGAAATACATCACCTACACGTACGTTTTGATACTACTCTACATTTGTCGCGCACGATAAATAGGAATATTTCTAACTATCTCTTGATTCTCACGTGGATTCCACAAAATCTAGATGATCTGCAGCTTGCTTTGGTTTTGTACAAAATTCCAGTCTTTACGTGCCTTTTTTTGTGCATGGAGAAACTCCACAATTCTCCAACGCAACTACTAATATCAAATGGCAAAGCTTTTTCTGATGGAAAGAATCTCTTCACATTGTTTTTTATCTTTTCGATTCAGAAAAATATATACAGTGGAACTTCTATAAATTAATAGTGTTGGGATCACCAAAATTTATTAATTTAAAGAATTATTAAAGAATCGATAAATTAATAAATTATTCATTTAAAGAATTTCAATGAGAAAAAAGAACCGTCACTAAATTTCTTAATTTTGCAATTGTCTTTACATCCAAATCAATCAAGTATTAAAACTCTTTTGAATACTACAAGTCTATACATAGTTCATATCATCTCTAGGGTCTAAAAAATAAGCATTAATATTTCATATTTTACTAAATATTTATAGTTATTATTTTTTTTTTGCTTTTAGGATATTTATTAATTTATGATATTATTGTGACCTATATATATATATAAGAGATTTTTTGAAACATTATTATCTTATCATTTTATCGAATTTTTTTCACTTTTTGTATTAATCCCAAGTTGGGATAAGAGAAGACTATTAATTGCTAGAAATTATTATTATAGATTATTAATTTACCAGAGTTGTACTGTACCAAGTTTTCCCCAAAATTTATCTGTTTTTCTCCTTTCAAGACTTTAGAATTTCCGACATTTTTTGTCTGCATTTAGCCATTTTATCTTTCCACTTCAACAACCAAAAGAAAAGCTGAGTTCAGTCTAATAATTTACTCCAAACGAGAATCTTTATTTGTTCCTTTTCCAGTTTTACAAATAATAAAAATCTTCATTTCACAAAAAAGAAAAAAAAAAAACTGTCAGAATCCCAAAATAAAAGACATTACTAAAAGTTGAATTAAAACCGTACTACTAAAAGATCCACGACTTCATCTGGTCACAAGAAATTCATATAAGACTAAGTCAACGAATGTTTAAGCTCCACTTCCCAAGTTCTTCCCGGCCGGCGAGTAGTACGTACACTTCAGCAGTTCAGCCAGGGATGGCACTGTGAAACTCGCCGTGTTCCTGCCTGAACCAATGGCTTCAATGCAGGCCAAAAATGGAGATTCTGACTCTAGTCTTGCCTCCACTAGTAGTACTAGCCTCAGCCCCAGTGTCAACTTACCTGAAAGGCAACCTTTATTGAAGAGATCAAAGACTATTGCCGCCGACGAGACGGCCACGGCTCATTTCCCAGGTCCACTTTTTCCGGCCGTCCGCCGAGTTGCTACTTCGCCTTCATCCTTTCACCGGAGTTCCGAATCTTCAACTTCCTCCTCCTCCTCGCCCACCACTTCCACCTCCAGTTTTACCAACTCCGGCACCGGGACTTCGAGTTTCTCCGATCACGCCTTCGACTTTGCGGATCGCGACTACGTATACCCGTCTTTCCTCGGACCTTACGCGACCCGGGGCAGGGCTAATGCAAAATCTCTGTCCAAGTCGCCGACGATGGAGCCTCTTTCGGGTCGGACCCTGGGCAGGAATGCTTCAATGCCGCCTGGTTTGACCGTGGATGTGACCCGTCCTAAGATGGACTCGTCCCACAAGATCGGTGGCGCAATTCCTCCTAGACCGGGAAAACTGAAGCCCGAACCCAGGCCCAAAATGGCGAAGCTGAAAGGTGAGAAGGAATTGAACCCGTTGACTATCCAAGTCCCTGCTACTGCATCATCATCCGGCAATTCTTCGGCGAATTCTTACACTGCTCGAAATCCTTCCGGATCAACCAATCATTGGATTATTAACTTGGTTAGTTTTTCATTACATCTGTCTACCCGTTTTTTTACAATCTATTTAGTTACTAGTTTAGTGTGCGATAATGTATTTTTCTTTTCCTCCCTGATTTTCTGTTCTTTTGTTCATCATGCAGCTGACATTAATAAGTACATTGTCTACATGTTACGCAATTTACTTGCAAGCTAAAGTAGGGAAGCTTCAGGTTCGTATTCATTGATATGAAGTTGCTTGCTAATACTGCAAGTTGAGTTTTGCTATCTTTGGGTCAAGTTTAAGGAGTTAATGAGCTGGGATTTATGATTGCAGGAAGAGAATGATAGCCTTCGTAGATTATGTAGCTCTAAAGGTGCCTATGGTGGCAACAGCATTGATCTATTGGGATTAGGAAATGGGATTTTGTATTCTTTCTTCAGTGAAACGGACAGTAGAAAGATTGCCCTCTTCACAGTTGTATGTACTCTTGTAACCCCATTCGTAGTTTACAAGTATCTTGATTATGCTCCGCAAATTAGGCATCCAACCAGGAGTGCGAAAGATAATAAAGAAGAGGTTCCACTGAAGAAGAGAATCGCCTATACGGTAGATGTTTGTTTCTCTGTTTATCCTTACGCAAAGCTACTCGCCCTTCTCTTTGCCACTCTGTTTCTCATTGGATTTGGGGGATTGGCATTGTATGCTGTCGGCGATGGCAGCTTTCTTGAAGCTCTTTGGCTCTCATGGAGTTTTGTGGCTGATTCTGGGAATCACGCTGACACAGTTGGTACCGGGCCAAGGATTGTCTCAGTTTCTATAAGTTCAGGGGGAATGCTTATATTTGCCATGATGTTGGGGCTTGTTTCAGATGCTATTTCAGAAAAGGTTGATTCGTTGCGGAAAGGAAAGAGTGAGGTTATTGAAAATAACCACATACTTATTCTTGGATGGAGTGACAAATTGGTAATTCCACAAGTTTCCTGCTACTTGAAGTTGTAATTGTTAAAAAAATTCTCCGATTTGAGTTTTCCTTGCCACTATGCAGCGTCTGATATTCTTAGCTGGTTATATATGTTGCCTTGGTGTCTAATTACATGAGATGTCTATAGTAAGGTTGACTTATGATCCATTATTCTTCTTGTAAGAATGTTTATCTAAAGTAATAATTTCACGTTTATATAATCCTGAGCCATCACTAACCCTGTGCATGAAATTTGAGAATAATTTCACTGACTGTTGCATCCTTATGCAAGAAAAGTTACTTGAAGCTTGTTAGTTAATGTGTTGTATTAAGAGATAGTCATATCATTGCAGGGTTCTCTTCTGAAACAACTAGCAATAGCAAATAAGAGCATTGGTGGAGGTGTTGTTGTTGTACTTGCCGAAAGAGATAAGGAGGAAATGGAGATGGACATTGCAAAGCTTGAGTTTGACTTCATGGGTACATCTGTTATTTGCAGAAGCGGCAGCCCCCTTATTCTTGCTGATTTGAAGAAGGTATATTTGCGATATATACAATACCACCTGCCACTTTCCATGCATCTAACAGAAGTAAAGGCTCGCTTTTTGTGAAAGAAATATACATTTGGCCACCTTAGATTGTCTGCTAGGAACTCTTATTTAATGGCTGTCATGCTTGCAGGTTTCAGTCTCAAAGGCCCGCGCCATAATTGTCCTTGCATCTGACGAGAATGCTGATCAGGTTCTTTAATTCCTTGAATAAACAAAATCTTTTTTTACTTCTGTGACGATGTCCTACAAACTAACTGCTTATGCATCTGAATTTCTTATCAGAGTGATGCACGTGCTCTGAGGGTTGTGCTTAGCCTGGCGGGAGTCAGAGAGGGATTGAAGGGTCATGTTGTTGTAGAAATGAGTGATCTTGACAATGAACCATTAGTAAAACTTGTTGGTGGAGAATTAATTGAAACAGTTGTGGCGCATGATGTTATTGGAAGGTTGATGATACAATGTGCTCTCCAACCTGGCCTTGCACAGGTGAGCTGTGTCTGATCTTGCATTGGTTTCATAATCTGGGTACTGAAGATAATTGAATAACAGTGCAGAGATATGGTTGTGTGTATTTGAAGTCTCCTTCTCGTCCTCTTTTACTATTTTTTCCAAGAAATTTATTGTACTTAGAGCTCAGGACACCTTCGATATCTCAGTTTCGACATGGCAAGGTGTGAATTAGATTTTATTGTCTTGTTTGGTTCTACTATGCTAATAGCGCAAGTGAAGAGCAACCTAAACCTGCTTATTCAGAAAATGCAACTTAAACCTTCTTTGGGATCTAGATGAAAATCAAACACCTTGGTGTAGTTTGTGTCAAGTTCTTCCATTGGTCTTCTCCTTTTTCCAGTCCAGTGTATTAGGGTTCTTATGGTTGCTGCATCATTGTTGAGTGTACAAATGCAAGAATGTTCCTTTCATTCTTCATTATTGTTCTAATTTGGCAGATATGGGAAGACATTTTGGGGTTTGAAAATGCAGAGTTTTACATTAAAAGGTGGCCTCAACTGGATGGTCTGCAATTTCGTGATGCATTGATATCATTTCCTGATGCGATTCCATGCGGAGTCAAAGTTGCTGCAGATAAGGGCAAGATAATCATGAATCCAGACGATACATATGTTTTAAAAGAAGGTGATGAGATTCTTGTCATTGCTGAAGATGATGACACATATGCTCCAGGACCCTTACCAGAGGTTATATTTCCGCTCCTTCTAGTGATGCTAAGATTTCGCTAGTATTTCTATAAATTATCCTGCATGCTTAGTTTTTAGATGTCTTTGATTTCTTTTTTCTTTCTTCTTCACTGTAGCATCGTCTCTATGGAATTCTCTTCTTCCTTGTATTCTTAATGAACTTTGTATTATACAAGAAATTCTTTCATGTCTTTGATTCCTGAAGTGTATAACCCTGATTGATGTGGACATTCAAAAGGGAAAGAGTTAGGAGGTTTTGGAGTACTAGGATAACCAGAAAGAATTCTGAAAGAAAGAAAATTTTATTAAAAAAAAAGTGCAGTATCTCTGGTGGAGCATTCACATATCTCCCACCGAGTACGATTTTTTGTCTTCCACATTGGTGATGGTTGTTAAACTTGATTGAATATGATCTTAACAACCTTGCATATGTGTCCTGGGGCAGTATTTGTTGAATGCTTGAAAAACCTGTAATCGAACAGCTGTGCATCAGATTTCAGAATAGAACCTTCTCAGACAAACTATAAACACACATCAACAAATGAAATTCTTTTCTCTCTGCAACTTGTTAAAGATTGAATTCACTTTTGAGCATAAGTGCAACCTGATGTTCTTTCCTTTCAGGCTAAGTGTTTAGGACATGTCCTATCTGTTTTTCCCTAACAGGAACTTCGGTTGCATTGTATCTTTGTTATTTTCCTGCAGGTGCGTGAGGGTCGTTGTCCTCGAATGATCGATCCTCCAAAGTATCCGGAAAAAATACTTTTCTGTGGCTGGAGGCGTGACATAGATGACATGATTATGGTAAAGGTCCAAAATATGTATCTTTCTTTCAACCCGTACTATACACATCCGTTACGATGCGCTAGTTTTCTTCAAAATAAAGGAGTTGATTATTCTTTGCTTCTCTTGTGCAGGTGTTGGAGGCCTTCCTTGCCCCAGGATCAGAGTTGTGGATGTTTAATGAGGTTCCTGAGAAAGATAGAGAAAAGAAGCTGACAGATGGTGGGCTTGATATTTCAGGGCTAGAGAACATCAAACTTGTACATCGTGAAGGGAATGCTGTCATCAGACGTCATCTGGAAAGTCTTCCTCTGGAGACATTTGATTCTGTAAGTTTGATTTTTTGGACAATTTGTTCTCAGATGGACATTTCATCTTTGGCATCTTATTCCCATATAGAAATATGGATGTTCCACCTGTAAATGTTCTGGGTTCTTCATTTCTAATGTGAATATATAATTTGATATTTCTGTCTTTAGCAATCATAATCATGAATGGTTACTGACGCCATGACAACAGATATTAATTCTTGCAGATGAATCTGTTGAAGACTCCATAGTTCATTCTGACTCGCGATCACTTGCTACCCTTCTCCTAATCCGAGATATTCAGGTCATTTATGCTTTGTGTATGACTTGACCTATGATTTGAGGTTTAAATGATAACTGCATCCAAATTTATTCTCTTGTTTGTGTTTCACAGTCTCATTTCCTAGCTTGTAACTTCTACATCTGTGTATTCATGACATCTTTAAAATTGCGTGATGTGAACTTATATAACTATGTGTTTCTTTGGAGTGAATGCTTGAATTCATGAATAAATCAAGTCGACTGAAACCTCCTGTTTATCTTTCTTTGCAGTCAAAGCGTCTTCCATATAAAGATTCAAAATCCCATCCTCTAAGGAATTCTGGGTTCTCACAGAGCTCTTGGATTCGTGAAATGCAGCAAGCATCAGACAAATCAATAATTATAAGTGAGATTTTGGATTCCAGGACCAGGAACCTTGTTTCAGTTTCCAGAATCAGTGATTATGTGCTATCGAACGAGCTAGTGAGCATGGCCCTTGCTATGGTCGCCGAAGATAAGCAAATCAACCGTGTACTCGAAGAGCTATTTGCTGAAGAGGTGCGTTTCATAATTTCCATTGTGACTAACAAAATTATTGATTCTTCCTTCTTACCCGAATATAGTTGAGGTTTCACAGAAAATGACGTTTGATGAGATCTGATTGACTTGATAACCCCCATCAAACTCATATGTGTAGGGAAATGAAATGTGCATCAAGCCAGCAGAATTCTATCTCTATGATCAAGAAGAACTCAGCTTTTATGACATAATGAGAAGGGGCCGTCAAAGGCAGGAAATTGTGATAGGTTTCCGTCTTGCAACAGCTGAATGTGCTGTAATCAACCCGGTGGAGAAGTCAAAACCACGGAAGTGGTCCCTTGATGATGTTTTCATCGTGATTTCCTCAGGCAATTGACAAAAGCGACGAACCATTATATCTGCACAAGTGTATATATGACAGATTGTGATGGAATCAGATGGTTCAAGTTTTCTGCTGGTCATGGCGTTGAGCTGTTAGATAAAATATGACCTTTCTGGAAAGGAAATCAGCAGCTGCTGTCAAATTAGTTTCAGGAATTCTTTTTGGAACAAGTATTGCTGGGTGACATAGCATCGGCAGAAATAAAACTAGATAGAATTTTGACATGCTAGAAAGTTAGAAGTAGCTGCGTGACCAGTTGAGTTAGGTGCTCCTGAGCTCTTCTTTTTTTTTTTTTCAAAGCTCAGTGCAGCGGGGAAAACTGTCACGCGGCAATCGTAGTCTGAAGTTTCTTCTTCAACCAGAATGGCTGCTGATCTGAGATGAAGAGAGAAGTGTCAGATCAGCTTTATTTGTCATTGGTGAAGGCTGTTAAAGGTAGGCTATTATACTTTGTTTTGGTACATAATTGAATATTCAAATACACCTAGGCTGCTGTTTAGTGAAAATACGAGGACATGAAGCAGCAACTTGCTGTTTAAAGATACTGTAGCATATGCGGATTGATTGTTCATTGGATCTTGTGTTGTTTGTTTCATTTTTTTATGGTATTTTTAAATTATAATATTAATAACTGTCCCATCCCAGTATATCTTTTTACGTTACAAAAAATACTTAAAAACACACACTAAAAAAACGAAACAAACATATATAATTTCAACGAAGAGTTTAAAGCACAAACAGCCTGATATCCAGAGCTGGTAGTATATATAGATTGGGGTCCAAGTCCAAGTGATAAATGGTTTCAATTTGATACTATATATAGATTAGACCGTGCTAGCTGAGCAACATACAAAGTAGTACTTGTGGACAACCACCGTTTGTTACAGTCATTTTCATTTTAGATCGCTGACACACACTAGGTATTTTATTAACTTTTTTTTTATTTTTTATCATCTTTTGTAATTCTTTCATTTCGTATCTAACTTTTATTTTGGAGCAGAACGAATAACAAGTTATTACCATATGAGCGTCACACTAAAATGTGAAGTATGAGATTGTGGGATGGTCAAATTCAATCAATCTAAAAACATTGTTTTCACTAAACTATTCTCATTATTGGCGTACAAGATTCAAAGATCACAATCTCAAAAAAGTGGACATATCACAAATAAGTGACATTTGAGGAAGCTGAAACCACATACTAAACATCACAATGAAAATATATATATATATATATATATATATATATATATATATAGAAACTTTCTCATAAGCCTCAATACGAAATGTTGATCATGTCCAAAGCTAAATTCTCCATCATTATGGCTTCTACTTCTCCACTACAGTATGGTGGCATTTTTGGGGCTGTATTCCCTGCATTAAGAAAAATTTGTGTAAATTTTATTGGTGATAAACCTCAAAAACTGTTTTATCTTAATCTTTGAGAACTGACTAAATAGTACTATACGTTAAATTTGTGTCGCTAAAAAAAAAAAAAAATCTTACGACAAATACAAAACATGACTCGATTAATTAATTGGCACTCCTAGATTTAACTCACCGAGAAAGGATGATTTGATTTGGGTGGCACTGGTGGATCTTGGAACCTTTTTAAGAGGGCAAGCAGAAGAAAGTGGAAGAACAGGGAGATTTTGACAGTTGCAAATTTCAATCATGTAGCCATCTGGATCATGGAAGAAGAGCTGATCCACTGTTATTCCTCCTTCTTCAACCACTGCCGTCACAAATTCAATGTTCTTTTCCTCCAATTTTTGCACTATAATATCCATATTGGTGCATTGGAAGGAAATGTGGTTGTCTTTTGGATTGATTTTTGCCTTGTTCTTGCCACGTACAGGATCTTCAGCTTCGAGCAAATGAATTCCAATTCCATGGTTGAACAACCTGAAAATATTTTCAACTTCGATTGAATTATAAAAAAAAAAGTGGAATTCCCTTACTAAGTTTGGTAGTAAGATGCCATATCGAAATCGTGGTAATCTAATTTAAACTCTCAACCATCTCATCCAACCCTCCTGCAGTGTACTATTTTATTATTACTATTATTACATTTTTTTGTTGGGTGCTTGATCTGGCATCATAAATTTGAAGTGAATTTAATGCTTTTAGGTTGGGTGAATCTGGTTCCCACATCATTTATTTTTTTAGCTCCTCTGTACTTATATATGTGGTTTTGACAAATAGGATCCATCATTGATATGGCTTTTGGATATCTACCAACTAACTACAGTGCTTTTGGCCATTTTTGTTGCTGGATCATAATGTTATTCTATACTATTCCGATAAATCTGACTAGATATTTTGCAACTTAATTAGTTGTGTAGAATATTTCGTTTTCCTCCTTTTGCCGACACAGAAGAACACGGTCTTTACACAATATGCTCATATAAAATATAGTACTTGATTTAATAAGTGAATTATGTTTTTTGAAAGATGGAGAAAAGATTTGAAATATTTGATGCGTTTTTACATATAGTCGTTTATTTAATCTAGGATTATAACATTACAAAAGTACATATCATAAAAAAAAAATACGATTTAAAACCGGAAAATAGTGGACCCTTACTTGAAAGATAAAAAAGGGTAAAAGAGATGGAAGAATAACACGTACCAAGCTCCTTCAAAGGTGAAAGAAGAGGGTCGCTTGATGAGAACAAAACCAAGAACTTCTTCATAAAACCTAACAGATTTTCTCACCGATTTGCAAACAAATGAAACGTGATTTAACGACAACAGAGGCAATTGTGTCTGCTGCTTTAGACGTTGATCAACATCTGCAGATGATGAAGAGGAAGATGATGCAAAAGAAGAAGAACCACTGCTCAATAACATCTCCTCCATTAATTTCTCCCTTAAACTGATGGGTTTTTTTTTTTTTTTTCCTATCAAAATGTGATAAGTATTTTCAGCTGCCTATGTTTATACACCTAAGAGGAAGCAGAAAATGCAAAATTTTGGGGTGGCATTGTAATGGAGGAAATGGCTACATATTTATAGCTAAAAATGGTACTTGGTGCCTTGGTTGTATAAAAGAAAAAATAGAACCAAAATTCCAAAAACTTGAAAACAATTTTGCATGTTGGAGAAGGGATGAGACCCTATTGGTGGGTAAAAGTGGGTCAGCTTCCATCTCAGTCCTACGTGACACTCTGACATTTATCAATCATGTGTGTATCTCCAATAGCATTATTAATTTCTCTATTGACGATCTTATCTGCCATCTCAATACCTTATAATTACACGTAACAAGAATAATTCATGCTTCATTTGGCCATTTCCTTGTCTATTAATTTTTATAACACATTTGTAATGACTAATATTCACTCTTTGTCTGAGAATATTAAAATTTTTTTTTCAGACACCTATTTTATTATATAAAACATCGACGTAATATTCTTTATAACTTAATCTCTATCTTTATAATGGATCTGTCCAACAAACAAAATAAACATTTTGATAGAGTGTAATAAACAAGCTTATCTTTTTTTTTTTAATAAACAACTTATCTAAGTGATTAGTAGACCATATAATACACAAGTTGTTAAAGTTAAACAAATACTACAATGAATTATTGAATAATGTCATATGAATTGTGACGCCAAAAATGCTACAAAAATCTTTTGTCATGTTCATATGATAAGTCTGTCGTAGGATGGCTGTCTGAGATTTTCTCAATTCCCACATGTGTTTTTGGCCCTCTTGGATGAAATCATTGATTATGATGTTTTTGAGGTAACTTTTCACTTTCATTTTTTTTTACTACTACTTTAATAAAGTTAACTTTTCAGTTTTCACAACGTGCTCTGATAAGAGGTTGCTACTTTTGAGGCTATAACGACAATGATTTGAAAATTTTGATAAGTGATCAGAGATTGATCAAAGGGAACTCTTTTCTCACATAGTCTCAAATCAGAGTAAAATATGAAATAACCTCATGGTGAAAAATGAAAATTGATGTATAAATACACATTTTCTCACCTTTGATATCGAGCTAACACCATCATAATATTAATTCTTCAGTTCAAAAACTTTATCAAAACAAAATAGGATGTTACACGACAAACGGATACTTATTACATTTAAAATTAATTCAAGCACGATAGTTGTTGATGTGACACATAAATATATTAGATCCTTTTTTTTTATAAATGACAGGAAAAAAAAAGTCATGATTTATTTTTTATTTTCATGTAACAACTCATATAAATCATATTTTCCCAGTCACAAACTGGAGGAGTACTAAACAAACATAATACTATGTTCAAATGCACTTGCACCAAATTTAATCTACTTGACACATTGTAGAGGAGCTGGAGTAGGACTAGATAGATACAGGAGACAAAGATTAATGTCCAATGCCTTTAGGAGTTTTACATCTAAGCTGACAAGCTATCTGCGAATTCTCCCTCAGATGTCGATAGACAACAGTGAAAAATTTGGAAAAAAAAAACAGCAAAAAAAATGTTGACAAGTTCAACTTCAATGGAGTTTCCCTCTAGTGAGAGGAAATTCAGAAATGCACTCAAAACTGATCAAAGGCAGATTAATCATCACTCAAGAACTTAGGGGATATCTTTTTCAGAGACAAAAAAGTCTCTCAATAATGGTTATTTTTAGCTCGAATTTTGTTAAAAGAAAAAAAAAAAGATAGTGATTGCTATAATTGTTAAAAAATATTTGTTACGAAAAACTGAATGGGTTGTTTTGTGTTTAAGTTTTCGATCACATATAGTATTTGGCATCAAATTATTGCACTCTATGAATTTACGATATAGTACATGTTTGTTACGAAATAATATTAGGATGTAAGAACACCAGAAGGCTATATTTAAAATTCAGTTTTGGAACTCAGCTTCCCTAACATCCTTTCCCTTCCTTATATATACGAAGGACCGGCAGAGATTGATAAGCAGATCAGTGCAATCTCAGTGAGTACGTATATAAATGCACTTAATATATACATATATATATATTGTTTTTTATATTATGATGATAATGTTTTTTATTCACAACAAGCATATTATAGAGAGGAAGAAGACAAAATTTATTGCTGTTCTTATCTCCAAAATGCGTAATGCGGGCATTCAAAGAACTTCCAACTGCCTGCTGCTACAGATCAATTGTCTTCTGGATAGTATTTCAATACATGGAAAATAGGAAGGGGAAAAAAAATACTACTTCTATCCTAAAATTATTGTCCAGTTTAAGTTTTCATTTTTAGTTCATTTTGTATTAAAATTGAAAATCCAAACTGGACAATAATTTTGGGATAGAAAGAGTAAAAAATTTCTACCAACCCAAAATAGCTAGTTTTATGTTTGTTACAATCATTTTAGGAGCAAAGGATACCTAGTGTTTGGTCAAGGATGAAAGCTTTATTTACAATTTTTGTTAAGCATTTTTTTCCCCCTTTCCTTTTCCGAATTCTGTCAAATCTTCAACATTTCCATCTAAACGAAAGTGTGCAGAAAACCAGCTGGAAAAAAAAAAAAACTTTCATCCGGGGACAAAATGATTAAACGGAACGTTGCTAGTGCATAACTACTGCATATGAAAAAGTCGAAGTTAAAGCATGGAGCATATTGTTGTCAGGCTTTAATTTCAAGATATATTTCTTGTATGATTTTACCCAGCAAATTTGCCAAGAACTCACCTGATCAAATCTAACCCACTTAATTATTACGTTTTAGTTGGAATTTTTTTTTCGTATTGTATCAAAACTTAATTTACACCATGGACGAAAGTATTCCCTCTAGTTTTTATAATAAGATATTTTGATTTTTCTTAAATTTCATTATCGTGTTTTTTATTTGAAAATGAAATCTTAAAAACAGTTTATAATAATTTAGAGAATACAATAATCGTAAAAATATATTTTAAAAATTTTATTTTTAATCAGAAGAACACAATAAATGAAATTAAAGATAAATAAAAATAACTTATAATAATAAGGATCGGAGGAAGTAATTAATAAAAAGATTCATTAATTCTGACCGTACTAGCGCAGGTACAATTATTATATGCTAACTTGTGGACAACTGAAAAATCAATACGGACATCATTTTCATAATATATCATCACAAGCTCATTAGCTAAGTCTCCCGTCTTCCTTTTGGTCTTCTAGAATAAGTTTTACATTAATTAGGTCTTAATATATACCAAAAAGCATCATATGAAAAATGTAAAGGAACACACATGAGAAGAAGATCAGTTGGCTTCTTTTCAGTTTGGAGAAGTGAAATGGTCAAATTCAACTTAATTATTAACATTGCTTTGCTTGAAGTATTACCATTTTTCATATATACTGAAAAAATTTACTAAATGTGAATGTATAAGATACTTGTGGTAATTTCTTGAAATTTATATCTATGGTGTAAGTTGGTTTTTGTTCCTTGATGAGCAAATTGAGGTGATACAATATTTTTATAATAAATTTGCGGATGCATTCATATCCCAGCAAATGAAGATTTTTATAGTAAACTCTTATGTCGATTTGTCTCTGTCTAAACATCATGTGTTAAAGTCACCTAAACATTTGTTCTAACTTACTAAACGTGACAGTACAATGAAAAATTTTTTTATGGTAAACATTCTCGTCGTCCTTTTTATCGACTTTTCTAACCCAATAATATGTAAAGCCAATGAAAGAGAATTTTACTTGAAAACATCTTGACTTTTTAAGAGAATTTTCATAAATCGGTGATAAAGTCGACGAACAAAATTATCTTGAAAACATTTACGTCGACCTATGTGTATACTTCTATAACTCGATGTAAAGTTAGCGAAAGCAAAAGTTGACGAAACAAAATTCTTTGCATTCACGTCTACGTTTTGGTCGACTTTTTTAACTTGATGGTAAAGTCGACGAAAGAACAATTTCATAAAAGACATTTGCATCGACTTCTTCATCATTTCAAATTTGATCAGTACTGTTTTATTTTCATCTTTTCAGTACTGATTATTTGATTATCTTTTCAAATTGCGCTCTATCAAGCCACGAAAGAGCTTAACCTTTCATTATTCTGTATTGGGACTGGAGAGAAAAATAAGAGGGAATTTTTAATAGTGGGTTGATGTTATCTATGTTTTTTATCTATAAATTATTATGCTAATTTAAATTTGTTTTAGGCTGCGTCTGTTTCATTATATTTTTATAAAAAATAAATTATTATAGTTTTGACCTTTGGAGTTTCGGATCGACAAATAAAAAAGACAATGCATCCTTCTTAAAAATTGACAGAAAATTGGAATGGAAGATTCAATTCAAGAAACCTGAAAATTCAATGAAAAAGGAGGATGCACGCACCACGCATGTCGACGTTGTCCACGTCGTATAAGACATACTAGATGTTTTATCATATACTCCTCCCGTTCTTATTATAAGTCATTTTGATTTCGTTTTAGGTTTCGTCTAAGATATTTTTTTAATTGAGAAAAAATTTTAAAAATATTTTTTCAAATTTATTGTGTTCTCCTAATTATTATGAAATATTTTTAAGGTTTTTTTCTCGATTAAAATATTTTAAGTGAAACCTTAAATAAAATCAAAATACTTTATAATAAGGACCGGAGGAAGTACATTGTAAATTAATTCAATGGTAAGGAAGACTCATTGAAAAATGCGACATGAAAATTCACAAGTTCTTATTTCCCTTAACAGATTGCTTCTTTTAAAAGATTTCAGTGATTATCTTTCGTATTTACAATACATCGATCCATCAATCATATTTTCAGTCAACATCATTTTAATTATTATCAAGTAGTAAAAGGCAGAATACTTATTTTGTGGGATGAAACGATAATTCTCAACAGCAATTTGAGCAATACCTGCACTGCCATGTATATGACAGGGTCAATGATTGGGAGTCTACCTTACAAGAATTTATGCAGCCAACAATGAGCATGAAAGATGGATTCTGTGGGAAGACTTGAAGCAGATAAGGCAAAACATGGACAAAGCCTGGATACTTTGTGGTGACTTCAACAATGTCATCAATCCTGATGAGAAGCTTGGCGGGAAGATGGTTACTCTATCAGAGATTGAACCACTGCAACTCTATATAGATGAGTGTGAACTGCAGGACCTGAGACAACAAGAAGCAAAGTATACGTGGTGCAACAGACAAATGAGGGATGCCAGGATCTATGCTAAGTTGGATGGGGTACTGGTCAATGGATTGTGGGTGGATCAATTCGACCAAGCAATTGTCACTGTCATGAATGAAGGTATATCAAACCATACTCTCTTGGTGATCCATATGCAGATGGAAATATTTAGCAAACTCAAACCATTCAAGTACTTCAATATGTGGAAATTAGCTCTTGAGTTCAAAGACATTGTGGACAGTGTATGGCAGCAGGACATTGATGGCACAAAGATGTTCCAGGTGGCTAAGAAACTGAAAATGTTGAAAAAACCTTTAAAGATTCTGAATAAGAGCAAATTTTCATATATACAAAAACAGCAAATTGAGGCAATGGAAAGGCTACAATCCTTCCAACAGAAACTCCAAATGATGTCAATGGATGAAATGGTACAGAAAGAGGAAAGAGAAACATATCAGAAATTACTAGAAATCAACAAGGCATTTGAAAGCTTTATGAAGCAAAAAGTGAAAGAAGAGTGGCTAAGAGAAGGAGACACCAACAGCAAATTTTTCCATTCCAGATTCAAGCAGAAAGTGATGAGAAACAGGATCTGGTCAATCACAAATAAGGAAGGGAAGATAGTAAGGGAATGACAGGAGATTGAGCAACATTTCATTGACTTTTTTCAAAAGCAACTTGGCCAGCAATCTCCCAGAACTCCAGTGAGAACAGAAGTATTCCAGCAAGGACCTAAAATTCCTCTAGAAATGCAAATGAAACTTAGAGCACCTATTACCAAAGAGGAGATCAAACATGCCTTATGGAGCATCAGCAGCTACAAAAGCCCTGGACCAGACGGATACGGAAGTGGCTTCTTTAAGGCGACATGGGACAGAATAGGAGAAGATATCATAGAGGCCATCTTGGAATTCTTCGAAACTGGTATGCTTCTCAAACAATTGAATTCTACTTTGATTGCCCTAATTTCAAAAGATGAAAATGCCTGTAATGCCTCTCAGTTTAGGCTTATTGCTTGCTGTAATGTATTGTATAAAATCATCTCTAAAGTGTTCTGTAATAGGCTTAAAACTGTGTTGCCTATAATAGTAGATGGGAATCAGGGGGCATTTGTTGAGAGTAGATGCATATTGCATAACATCTTGATCACCCAGGAGCTTGTTAGACTTTACAATAGGAAGAGAATTAGCAGTAGATGCATGATGAAGGTGGATTTGCAAAAGGCCTACGATTCGGTGGAATGGAAATTTATAGAAGAATGTCTAGAAGGGTATGGCTTCCCTAGCAAGTTCACTGGTTGGATTGCAGCATATATGAAGACTACTTCTTTCAGTCTAAGCATTAATGGTGCATCATTAGGGTATTTCCCGGGGAAAAGGGGGTTGAAACAAGGTGATCCTATATCACCCCTCCTATTTGTCCTTGTGATGGAGTATTTTACTAGGCAACTAAAAGAAGTAGCTGAAAACCCGAAATCAAATTCCATCCCCTCTGTAAATCTCTGAAACTCACTAATATATGTTTTGCAGACGACCTGATGGTCTTCTGTAAAGCTGACCCTCTTTCCATCACCCTTATCACAGAAGCTTTTACAGAATTTTCTGCCACTTCTGGTCTGAAAGTAAATCTGATGAAATCTGAAGTGTATGTAGGAGGAGGGGATACGGAACTAAGACAGGAAATATGTAGAATCACTGGTTTTAAAGAGGGATGCTCCCCCGTGAGGTATTTAGGGGTTCCAATTTCGCCAAGAAAATGGAATCAATTGGAATGTCAACTAATGGTGGAAAGAATTGTCAAGAGGCTGAAATGCTGGAGCTCCCGTCACTTATCGTATGCAGGGAGGTTACAATTAATAAGCTCTGTGTTAATGCATTTGCATGTTTATTGGGCATCTGCATTCATCTTACCTCTGTGTTACTGCTGCTATAAATTAGAAGTGTAGAGAATTTTTGTGGGGAAAGAAAGAATCTGGTAGATATTCTGCCTTAGTAGGTTGGGAGACAGTTTACAGGAGGAAATCGGAGGGGGGGTTTAGGTATTTTTGATGCTCGAATCTAGAATGAGGCGTCTATCCTGAAACACCTATGGTGGCTGGCAACTAAGAAGGACCCATGAGATTTATCTAGAGCAAGAAGATATCTGGGGGATACAGAGCAAATAGGATCAAAGTTGACAGTGGAAGCAACTGCTGAAAATCCCTACTTGATAAGCAGATCAGTGCCACTTCACACTTACACAGAACATATCCACTTATTATCTTTTATATGATGATGTGATAAATGAATAAATGATAATGCTATATATTTGCTCGCAACAAGCTTGGTACATTTAAAGCACTTCCAACTAAATGCTGCTACCACTCCGTCCAACGAGTTTTGCCTCTTTTTTTTTTTTTTCCTTTTTCTTTCTTGTAAATTGTTATAGTCAGCAAGACAATTTCCATTGTAAGTTATGTCAATACAGTGAATGAGACACTGTATATAAAACCGAAAAAAATTATAAAATGATTGAAGTTTCTTATTTGTAAAATTGTGTGTTCATGTATCTTTTTTCCCTTATAATTCTGTCAGGAACTGAACGTTCATAGTCATACAACTCGAAGGAGGACAAAATTATAGTGAAAACAGAGTAGATGGAAAATTAATAGGTAAATCATAGTGTCCCAAGTAAACGTGATGATACTCGAACTATAGGTAGATGTAAACATATTGATGTCGGCTTGAATTTCCAGACCTTTCTTACAACACCCATCGAATGTGATTCACGTGAAAATAGTGGTTCTAATTGAATTCTAGTAATGAATCATACACAGTATCGAGTAACTTCAGGGAAATAATTGATTCTTTTGTTTATGCCTTCACATACCCTTCCGTCCTGAATTAATTATTCAATTTAAATTTTTATATTTAATGCAATAATTCAAACCAATTTGTTAGTATTATTGTATGTAATTCCTATATAGAAAAGGTATGTAATTAGAGTCCTCCGCTCTATACTTCTTTCCGCTAGTTATGTGCCTACTAGAGTGCAGTTGGCTGATATTTTCATTAAAACTTTTGGTAAGCAAAAATTTGTCTTCTTTCTTGATAAGTTGGGCATTCGAAATCCCCATGTTAGTATTATTGTATGTAATTCCTATATAGAAAAGGTGTGTAATTAGTTAAACAAATATTTATCATGTAGTTACTACTTTACTTAAGGTAACTATTGTAATTAAGAAAACCTAATGTTATATATACACATTGAGTCGGCCATCAACGGGGCGACAATCTCTTCCAAATGATCTATCTACTGTGATTTTGTCATAATTATCTAGTTTGAATTTTTTAAGATGAAAAAAGTACATTATTCCTCAAGTTAAAGTTAGTATGTCGCAAATAAATAAGGCGCATTTTTTTTTTTTTTCGATCTACTGGTACATAACAATTTTGCTGAAGTATGATGACGTAAATGGTTGAGAATATTTACATATATGAAATTGTAGCAATGGGAATTGCCAAAGTAATTTGTTGCTTTCATAATGTAATACACATAATTTCAAAACAATCGACTACTAATTTATAATGTAATAATCTCAAAATAATTGTTCAATAGACTTTCTTTAATACGAAATGTTGATCATGTCCACGGCTAAATTTTCCATCATTAAAGCTTCAACTTCTCCACTGCAATATGGCATATTGGGGGCTGCATTCTCTGCATCAACAAAACATTTGTATAACTTTTCATTAGTAATAAACTCAAAATTGTTTCATCTGGACTGACAAATTACACACAAAATGCAATTAACGAATATCCGGGGGAAATTATAATTTATGACGCAACATAACTTTCAGACAAACCCTAAATCCAAAAGTCAAACCTTTCTTCTAAAAATAAAAATCGGTACCTAATAGTACGTGTTAAATGTATCTCATGTAAATTATTTTATTACGTCTATGAATACAAAACACGATCTGATAGTTACTCCATTTCAATTAATACTTACCGTGGAAGGGTGAAGTGATCGGGTTGGTATTGGTGGATCTTGGTTTAATAGGGCAAGAAGAAGAAAGTGGAAGAACAGGGAGATTTTGGCAGTTGCAAATTTCGATCATGTAACCATCTGGATCATGGAAGAAGAGCTGATCCACTGTTATTCCTCCTTCTTCAACCACTGCTGTCACAAATTCAACGTTCATTTCCTCCAATTTTTGCATTACGAATTCGATATTGGTGCATTGGAAGGAAATGTGGTTGTCTTTTGGATTGATTTTTGCCTTCTTTTTGTTAGGAACATCTTCAACTTCCAGCAAATGGATGCCAATTCCATGGTTGAACAACCTGAAAAATTCCAACTTAATTCAGTTGTGTTTAATAACAAATTTCCTTACTAATGTTGCAAACTCAAACAATAGAACCTACGTTATATCCCTTTGTCTTTGTGTGGGTGCGCGCGGGGGTTGACCTTGACGAGCATGATAAAGTGAATTTTATTTCTTATCTGTTTTTTTTTAATTATTATTCTTTTGAATAATTAACAAAACAATTGAGTAGAGTGGTGAATATTATGATCCAATATCATTTATTCTGAGCTCTTTGATTACAAGGAAAAAGTCAAAAGTGTGAGAACATTTTTGGATATGTACTAACTGGTTTTGGCAAACTTTTTTTTGGTCAACGACTGGGTAGCCTATATTTTGCAAGTTATTAAATATAGTCATACGGAGAGTATAATACGAAATGATGCAAACAATTACTACTATATAGGGGATGAATAACACGTACCAAGCTCCTTCAAAGGTGAAAGAAGAGGGTCGCTTGATGAGAACAAAACCAAGAACTTCTTCATAAAACCTAACAGATTTTCTCACTGATTTGCAAACAAATGAAACGTGATTTAACGACAACAGAGGCAATGGCGCCTGATCCTTTGATTGATCATCATCATCATCATCATTTGAAGTTGAAGAAGAAGAAGTTGCAAAAGAAACTTGCGATAACAATGACGATGTACCCTCCATTAATAATTGATTTTCTCACTAAATAAATTGATGTAATTTTGATGCCTGAAATTCTTTTTGAGGGTGTGACTAATATCTTCTTCAGCTACCTCTATTTATACACAAAAAACAACAAGCACCGAAAATGCCGATGTGGGGTGGAATTATAACGGGGGAGAAAGCGTTACATTTGTATTTTGTTTATTTATATTTTATGACATGGAAGACCGTAGCGTGTAGAAAATAGAGATGTGGGACAATAATTCCACCTCAGTCCTACGCGACAAATTATGGAATTCAATAGAAGTATTTTATTTTAATTTTATTTATTATTATTATTTTTTTGGTGATGATCTTATCTGCTGCTAGTTGAATGCCTTCTAATTAATGTACACTATTCAACGTCAATTTATAAACATTTAAGGGTAGTAGATAGATATTTGATCAAATTGGGACTTGATTACAATTTCCATCTACTTTTAGAAAACGGACTGCAACGCCCAAAGAAGTTAAATTAGTAATTAGCCTTTCATTGGTGGGAAGAGTCAAAATTTTCCATTTTCGAGAGATTAGTGGTTTTTTTTTCTTTTTTTTTTTAAGTGTTTGCCCAAATTGGTCACACACTTTTCTGCGTATATAAGTACCCTGTGACGTTGCATGTTGTACATAATTTACTTACACTAATTTTTATTCGATTTGAGTGAAATTTATTTACAAGAAAACAAAATTCTCCTAAAAATTATGCCACATACTGTATTCAAATTTTTGTTACACATTTTTCTGCTGGCATAGAAAAACAAAAGTCTTCTAAGTACATGCCATAACTTATTTTAGTCCGATTTTCATGAACCTCTTTTGATGAGCAGTTTCCCAACAATTATTTATCCTTGCAATTTTGTTTCAAAAAGGACAAACTCCGAATCACTCGACCTAAATAACTTCTCGGTAATACATTTTTCTCAAAAAAAAAAGAAAAAAGAAAAAAGAAAAAAGAAAGATAATCTTAATACACATCTGAGAAATTAAATGGATGTGTCGGTGCTCATACGAGGCTGCGGCCGTGGCTGAGATTTTTCGTAAATGACTATAAACACGTTTTTGTTCCCTTCCTATAGACTCAGGGGGTACTATGATATTTTTTGAGGTGACATTTCACTATGTTCGTGCCCACAAAACAAAGGTTTCACACTTTCCTCTGTCGATTCAATGATTAGTTACATTCATCATCTCTTTTTTAACTTTTGGTGTCGTCCTAATTAAACTGAAGTAAAGGTCTTTTGGTCAAAATCAGAACCTAACTATGATCATTCATGCACATGCATATTATCTATTATCGCATCAAAGTAATATTGTGGTCAAAAAGAAAAATATCATGATTTAATTGAATGCTCAAATGTACGTAGACTAAGAATTAATATCGTTCTTGCTTAATTAGAATGATGAACTCTGACAATGTCATAAACAAGTTGGCGACATGGCAAGAAACTAATTAATTATTGCAAATTATCAAGTATGAAGTATGAACCTAACCAAAAAAAAACAAAAAAAAGAGTCCAAGTTGCGCTCAAAGTCCGGGTGATCGACCATGGTTTACATATATATCAAATCGGTTGCTTGAATTTGCAAGGTTTCATAATGCAATACCGGTCAACGAGTTATCCATTCAGCCATTTGTTTGATGCTCCGATCAAGTAATTAACCGAGTGGAGAATGAGTAACGCGCGAGCTCATTCGTTGGTAAAGAGTATGGTTTTTCTTATTACTTACGTGTCAAGAAATTAACATACGTTTGCCGGGGGGGGGAAAAGAACAAAAGAAGTAGTCATGGAACTCCAAACTTATACACAAGATATAACATCAAATCGAATAGAATTTCATGGAAATGGTTAACAAATTCGATCTCATTTCCCTCCCATAAAGGAAAAGAAAAAACCCCACAAACCGATAATCATCAAATATCAAATTGCACAAAATAGATAAATTTGTACTTTTCTATATACGATATCAATCTTTGAAAAAGAATTGATTCAATCATTTCTCCAAATCCATCCAATTGACTCATATATACATATACATAGTATGAACGGGGAGAAGGGCTTGATGATCATGCTGCAGCTCTCAAAGGCCCATGCACAGTTAAAGTATTTCAAGTGTATAATCAATAAACTACCTTAAAATAAATAAATTCCCACATGCCTAGCTATACTTTTCCGTATCTTTATTAGAGTTTTCCCTCAGATGGTGACAAACAATTATTTGATAGAGATATCTAGTGGTAAACAAATTTTTTAAGAAAGAAGAGCATATGATACAGTATGGAGTATATTTGTATTAGAGTGAAGAAAACTTAAAAGCTTGTGGTGATGGTGTATGTACAATTTCGTAACTAGTGGATTTTGATGACATCGAATTTTTGTCCCTATTTCACAGCCAAATGTAACTTTAAATTTAGCCAGGTTCATCAAATTTCAACTTTCTAAGTAATGTCTGAGTATTACGTTATTTATTTTGACATTAATAAACACCGACCTAGTTGACATATACTTCTTTTGCCCTGAAATTATTGTCCGATTTAAATTTTCATTCTTAGTTTAAATTGTGTTAAAAGTGAAATTTTAAATTGTACTCCCTCCGTCACATAATTATTGTCCAGTTCATGTTTTTATTTCTAGTTCAAATTATACTAAAAGTGAAATTCCAAACTGGATAATAATTCTGGGACAGAGAGAGTACAATAATTTTTAAACGGAGAGAGTAAAGAATATATTGTAACATCCCACATTGGCCTTACAGCTAGCTATCGACCGTGACATAAGTACATTGGACCGGCGTGATAAGCATAATGGGAAACTACTTATTATTATATGATAATGCTATATTATCTTTTTATTTTTTATTTTTTTTTTGCCACATGCATGAAAGAAATTAAGAGAAGGACTTCATTGCCGAGTACTAGCTAGGTCTTATGACTTATCTTCAAGCATACGTGGATCATATATGAATGTATCCCCTAACACATATCTAATCTGCCATTTGAGCACCGAATACGACCGAATACGTAATATATACACCTAAAACAATTCCTAACTAGCTAATTATTTTTTTGGAGAATAATTATAATTCAACTTTCACTAATGCTGGATTCTGTAGTTATCGAAGCGCCGTTGGAAGTTTTGTATGCAAAGTGCCATCAAAACGAAAGGGGAAAAAACTATACAATAAAAGCTCGAAAAACAGAAAAAAATATTTTATACAGTACTTGTATCCTTATTTTTAGTACAACAAGTATTATCACCTTCTTATTTTGTTGATAAACTTCCATAGAAGTTATTATCTTCTCCCAAAAATTATTATTTTACCTTATATATTGTGTCTAATTACACAATCTTACGTGGTACAGCAGTTACAAGTGAATAATTTCTCCCAGAAACACCATTCATTTAGAGGAATAAAAACTGAGCAGATGAAAAAGTAAAAACTTGTGGTACTGTAGCACATTTTTTGTTGGCTATAGATTTCCATATCGTCCGTAACAATTAGCTATACTGATTCACGTGAAAAAGGTTGGATGTAACTTATACTATAATTAATTATTTCTTCCCCCATATATAGCTATTGCCTGAATATCTTTTTTCCTAAACAAAAATAGTTTATTTTTTTTTATCATTTTAGTACAATACAATGAATTAATTTTTGAATCATTGCGAGTATAATTTTAGAACTAAGTTTGATTCAAATTATGTATCAGAATTAAAACCGGAAGGAGGTACTGTACAATAGTGAGAAACTTCGGAGTTTAGAGCAAGGAAATTATTAATTTATTGCGTGTTCGCGCATTTTTAACCATCCAACAATTGAAATTTGATAAAGAAGAAAATTTCATAAACGTAATTTTGGATTAGTCGAAGCAATAATTTCAGACACTAGATATATAATATTATTTTTTAAAAAATTTTATTTTATATCGTAGGTTCAAAAAACCATCATCAAATATCAATCGACGGAGTTATAATTTTGCTTACATATATATCTGTGTGTGTAATTTATCATTTATTGAACAATTTAAATTGAAAATAAAATAAAATCCTCACTCAATCATTTCACCTAATTCATCCAATTGACTCATAAGTCTGAACGGAGTACAACTAGAAGCGTGCGATGACAGTTCAGCTAGCTCTCAAAAGCCCCCATGCATTTCAAATTAATTTCAAAACAGAACCGTTTATAATGGAAATGAATTTGAAGGGGATATATAAAAAAAACCAGTACTCCTACCTCTGTCCTAAAAAAAAAAAATAGTTTAAATTGAGTTTTAAGATTTGTACTAGTTTTAGTACAAATTTAAAAACTAAATGTAGATTATTTTTCTGGGACAGAAAGAGTATTATATATTAGGGAGTAAAGAAGGGTCGTCGCTACATACACCACTCCCTCTGTCCAAAAATAAATAAATAAAAAAACTAGTTTACAATACAAATCACTTGATATGGATTTTTTTTTAGATATGAAGGGAGTACAATATTTGTAGTTAACTATTCACCTGTCCCAAAATTATTATCTAATTAGAGCTTTCACTTTTAGTATAATTTGAACTAAAAATAAAAATCTAAACTAGACAATGATTTCAGGACGAAAAGAATAGTTGATTTTTGTTTTTAGTGAATTGCTTTAAGATTATTCATCGATTTGTCCTCATCAAGTTTCTCATGTTGTACTAGTAATAATAAGAGAAAATAATGTGAGACTATTGTGTTCCACATGACATAAAAAAGTACGTTGAGACATTGGGGCAGTGATAACTGATAAGCACAGATCATGCAAATCACAACCACTTATATGTACATGATCATTAAAATGCTCTATTTATTTGGCCACATTCAATATTCATTAAAAGAAATTCAGAAAACCGACTTCATCATTCTTACACATTCATCCTTACGTGGAATATACCTCTACCCCTCAGATTCAAAGTACTCCCATTGTCCCAACTAACTCACACCCAATTTGTCTGTTTGGAGATTACTATTAAAGGAAATGAATCACCGGGCAAAAAAATTAAGGACAAGCGATTTTTGTTAAACTATGCAAATTTTTTTAAATTTTTTTTTTTTCTTTGAGAGAATTATTATGATTAATCTCGTCAACTAAGAA